GACTGTGCTAAGTGACAATGGTTTCCTGAAGTACTCTTGGGCCCGTGTGGCTATACTTAATAGAGATTCAAGTTGCAGCTGCAACTTTTCTTGATGCAGCAGTGGAGTGTGTTAAAGCAACATTATGCAACAAGTTTACTTTAAAATAACAGCTTCAGAATCATTTTGATGGACGTATACTAGAGAGCATGGTGTTTTGGTCATTGCCACTGCAAGCCCAAAATGCCTGCACCACACAATGGAATTTTTGACATCATAACAGAGGCTGACAAAAGAAAAGGAAGACATTGTCAGAGGAAGCGAGGAAGAGTAAAAGAGAAAGAGACTGGACAAGAGTAAATCTCGGATTTACTTTTACTCATAGGCAAGAGCTGAAACAGATAAAAGGATGCAAGACAGCCTCACACCTAACAAGAAAACAACAAAAAACTGTGACAACGGTTTTCTGAAGTACTCCCGAGCGCATATGGCTATATTTAACAAAGCAGCATGACTTGAAAATCTAATTTACCAAAATTTACCAGTGGTTTCTGGCCTTGCCCTACAAGGACTGAGATTTCTCCAGATTCCCTGACTCACCTCACAGTATTATGTATGGTAGATGGTGAAAGACCTAAATTCCTTGCAATCTTGTGTTGAAAAATGTTCTTTTTGAACTTCTCATCAAGTCTGGCATAAAGTGGTGAGCCACGACTGCTTGCAAAGACTGAGCCTTTGGTGGATGCTCCTTTTAAAAGCAGAAAAAGCAAAGAATAAGAGACAGATCAAGTGCCTGGTTTACTACTGAAGTTTCCTCATTGTTTAAAGCTAGAAATTAAGCTTGGTCCACTGCCAGACACACAGGGGAGAGAGACCACTGGCTTACATTCAGACAACTGAGAAATAAATGTACTTCTGCAGTTACAAAGCCCAAATCAGATTATTATCATGGCCTGATTACCAGCTCTACAAACACTTAAAACTTTTGGAAAACTGTAAAATCCCTTAAAAACAATTCCTCTACCCTTCCAACCAGTGTTATAGTTGATGATCAGCTGATATCTGATCAGAAGGAACTCTGTAGAGCTTTTAACACAACATTTTGCTGCAGCTGGTCACATTTTTGGAAATACTGACTCAAATCTGCTGTTAGGTCAAACTCATGTAACTCGAGGCGGCAGATGTAACTGCAGACCAATCTCAAAATTGTCCTGTTTAGCTAAAATTTTAGAATTTCTAGTAAACAGTCAACTTAAATCATTTCTATACGAAAATTCTGTCCTGTTTAATCATCAACCTAGCTTTAGAGAAAGACACAGCACTATCTCTGCTACCACACTGCTTTTAAATTATCTTTATATGACCATAGACAGGAAGAAGCATTGTGCTGCCATTTTTATTGACTTATCAAAGGCTTTTGATACAGCTGATCTTCTTTTAAGGAACTTACAAAAGACTGGTTTTGATACAAATGCACTAAAATGGGCCCAAAATGACCTTTTAGACAGACAACAATGCATAGCACTGAGTAATTACAAATAAGATTTTTTTGACTATAGCCAATGGAGTACCATAAGGTTAAATTTTGGGCCCAGTTTTATGCAATATATATATTAATCAACTTGATGCCTCTGCCTCAAACCACAAAATACACCTGTATGCAGATGACACAGTTTTATACTGTTCAGCTGAATCTGTTTATGCTTCAATAAGAAAACTGCAATGCTCATTTAATGCCCTACATGTTGTTTTGTGTAAGCACAAACTGTTTTAAATTATAAGAAACCGTTCAATGATAATAAAAAAAGTTAATGCTGTTTTCCAGATCTACTAATCACTACCCTGGCAGGATCCAACATTGAAAGAGTCTTGGCATATGGCTGCATGATAAACTCACTTTTAAATCCCATATTAATAAATTGGTTGGCAGAAGTTTGGTTATCTATATAAAAATAAATCCTGTTTTCCCATGTATGCAAGAAAAGGGATTGTTGAGGCAATCTTACTATCTGTCATGGACTACAGTGATGTAATTTACAAATATGCCTCTGCCAGTTCCCTGAAACCACTGGACTCAGTCTATCACTCTGCACTGAGGTTCATTATTGGAGACCCATATAACACTCATCACTGCAGACTGCATGAAAAAGTTGACTGGCCCTCACTAGCAGCACGAATAGCAGGAATAATGTATATAAAACACTCTCCGACCATATGCCAGCATATATTACTTCAATGATGTCCTTTTGTTTTCTTTATCTTCTTTTGTTTTTATTAACTTTCACATTTAAGCTACGCTTTAATTACTATTTTATATTTTCTACTGTATTTTTTATGTATGTTTATTATTAAGGTTTCTTTTTTATACTTACCTGATTTGAGTCATTTTTTATTAAATGTACTTTTATTATTTGATATGTTTTTACACATTATCAATCCCTTTTCCTGTATCAACTCGGCAACATTGTAATTGATGATCACCCTCAATGTTCTCCGAGGTTAAATATAGGTTGATTGATTGAAATATTAATTGATTTATGTGTTTCAGATAGTTAATATGTTTAACACTACCTCTGCAGCAGCTCCTAGTGTGGTCCAGGCCAAATAGATACTAATATTATCACATTCTTGTACGCTAATACAATACGATACAATGTAACCGATGATCTGCTTCAGATTACAAGTCAATTCTGACCAGACTTTTTCTGAACGTGGACGCTTCTTAGTCTTAATCTTATAATTATGTCTAATAATCCTATCTGTAAGGAAGTGAAGCTGCACAGCTAAACTGCTACACAGCTACTAGTTACTTTTACTACTTTTACTACAATGATAGTGGAATGTCAGTGGCATGGGAACACTGTGGATAAGTCATTCTCTGAAATACATCAGAATAATCTTATGAACCTTTTTTGACAATCATCTTGTGACTCGCAACCTCCAAACACTGCATGGTTTTGAGAGCGTTTGAACATTTAGGCTGAAGGCCCCTGATGGATTTAGAAGACTTTAGAAAAAAACTAACTTCTGAAGACTTGCTTCTGGTAAAGGAACTCTGATGTTTAGTTTTATTAATGCTACTCCTTTTCTTTGCAAAACAATACCATGAAAATTATTTTTAAAAATAATGCATCAAAATTTTTAATGAATTGAAATATTTGACAAACATAAGACAATTTAATTTCTGATATTTGAATTCTGACAATTATCTTCATTCAGTTTAATCTAATCAGCCAGCTGCACAGTTACACAGGTAACTTTCCCAATATGAGTGATACAAACAGCTTCTAGTACAGAGCAAACTCAAATTCTAATAGTTCAGTGTTTTACAGGTGGTTTTACAGACAGTTTACTGACAGTGTACATCTTGTGGGTTGTGTCATTGTGTCAATCATATAAATAACGTATATATTAATGTGGATTTATTTTTAGAAGTCAAAATGTCTCACACACATGCTTCATGGCAAAATACACATGTATGCGTACTGACTGCGTATACTCACATATCACAGCATGTTAAATATCTTTGCACCTTATTCTCACTTCCTCATGCTCCGAAATGAGTGCTGTGTTGCACTGTCCAGTCTGTTTACTGTGTCTAATGTCTGTTTTAATTATCGTATTTGTTGTATTGTTTCTACTTTAATGTTTTGCACACTTGTGTCTGCACGTTTGCACTTTGTACTGTCTATTTTGTTCCATGTTGCACCTTGTCCCTTTCCGAGTTGGGTGGAAGCTTTGACATCGCTTGCTCGATGGTCCTCCGGTTGGCAGCAAGTACAACCGGATGGAAAACGGGTGGAAACGTGTAATCTGGTTTCTCATGTTTGTCATTTCCAAAATATTTCAGTTTAGTGTGACACAAATTGCATATAGTGTGGCTCTTGTCCAGGTCCCTTTTCCCTTTTCCCCCAAATCCACAGAAGCCAAAGTGCTTCCATACGCCAGCTCAGGGGTCGGCAACATATGGCTGTTTTACTGGCCTGGTGCAGCTCCACAGTAGAATTAGAATGTTTAGGTAAAAATAAAATAATCCTCCTTCGCAGTAAAATAAAGCCCTGCTGATCGTTCTAACACAGTTTTAATAATAGATAGTCTTAAACGCTGCTAATTCACCACCTTGTAACCCTGAAGGTTTGCGTGCAGACTGCAGGTCACATAGCAACGCACAATATCACCTAGCTTTGTGTACTTGCATTTAAGACGTACATTTGGAGATGAATGGACTTATTCGCATTTCTAAGCACCACATTTGGTTTCCTGGTATGTTAAATCTGCAACGAGAGACTGTCAAACACTAAAAAGTTGCGAAGATGAAGTCAGCGTCACTTTCGAATTTCCCCGTTCCACCTTAAATGGTGCTGTATTTGCATTCTGGTGCCTCAGGCAGAATTTAAGGTGGAACGAGAAAATCTGAACAAGAAGCTGTTGAATGAGAAGCTGACTTCAGCCTCGTAAAACATTCAAACGTTGAGAGACATTTTACAAGAAACTATTCTACTTTTGAGGAAACGTTTCCTGCCAGAAATGGGAGGAAAGTGGCTATAGCTAAAGCTTAAAGCAGAGCAAAGTAAGTCTACGTTTTCGTTAATATTTTTTAGCCTATACTAGGACATTAGCACATACTGAGACATATTGGACATTAAATGTTGGGCCCCCAAGGTGGTTTGATTTTTTTTGAAAGGACAAAATGGCTCTTCTTAACAGTTGGGTTGTCGACTCCTGACCTAAACTAGGTTTTAACGCAGAGGGTGCCTGTCAGATATCTCGCTCATCCAGTTGTGTTTTTGTTATGTGCACGCCACGGACTGTCCAGGCGCTGCACTTCTGCACTTCCAGGTTCTGCCTTATAAATTAAAATTTAGAAAATTGTTTTTTGACATTTGTGAATCGATTCAGAATCATCCACGGCTGCATCGCGATGCATCCAAGAATCTATTTCCCCCCACCCCTACAGCTATAAAATAAATAAATAAAGAAATGAATAAATAAATGACTTGAAAAGAGCACAGTTGCCTGACCTTCATGACCCCTTGCTGTATCAGGGGGGAAGAGTGGTTGACCAGCACAATCAGGGCCTCTGGCTGTATCAGTTTGTCCATCACTTCCTCTAGCATGAGGTCTGGCAGCAACAGAAGAACACCTCTCAGCAGATCATACAGCCCACAGCAGATCAGTACCAAGCAGTCCTCTGTAACAGTCCTGAGAGAAAAGAAAAAAATATCAAATACTGCACAATACAAAATTGCCAGAAAGAAAATATTAACATAAAACTTTAGCTATAGTTGTTGATGTAAAAAAGTTATTGGCGCCACAGAAGCACAAATAAATATGCCACATAAACAGATGCTATCCTCATTGTGCAGAAATTACATGGAGCAAGAATGCCAGAATTAAAAGAATGTTTGGAGACCAAACAAACATCAGAATACAAAAGTCACTCAAAAGGACCCAGATGGTTTCTGTAAAAATACATCCCCTAAATTTCAGTTAACCCAAAGAAAACACATCTAGGTCTTCATTAAGGCCACATAGATCTGTTGATGTGGTTTAGAGCACTGTATGACTCACTGTGAGCCATAAAAACGAACAAAACTTCCTATTAGGCAGCCATTCCAAACATCACTAGGGCTGGTATTCACAAAGCAGGGGTGATCATGGATCAGATTCCTCCATATTTATGACAGACTTTGTCACAAATGCCGCTACTAGATCAGCACTCCTACTCCAGAAGTAGTTTGTGAACACAGATCCTGTTGTCTAACGAAGCTGCACACAGTTATGCTCATTTTCATAGTTCATAATATGTCATACTGTGCCCTAAACCACATTGACAAGTCTGTGTGACCTCAATGAAGACCTGAATGCAGTTTGAGTGGGATGAAAGGGGTTCTGGGGATCCATTTTTTACAGAAATGATTTGGGGTCTCTATGCTCCAGTTCTAGTTAACATAATTTCCCTTTTTTTGGAAAAAGCAGCTGCTCCAAGGACACCAGAAAATGACATTGCTTTCCTTTAAACAACGGCCACTGTTCAGAGTTAACAAGCATGTAATCACAACAATATGTGTTTCAGTCACAATCTGTAAAATGCCAGTCTTATCCACAAAGGGCGGGTGTAACTCAGCTTTTACATTACTCACTTTAATTAACCTGAATGTTGTTTTTCCATTCAGTCTGTAAAGCATTTCAGAACACATCTTGTCTGCTGAATTGTATTTTGTTTCTGGTAAATTCTTGTTCATTTAGTTTCTGCCATCACACCTTCCGAAAAGCTTGCATGGGGGACAGCAATAGGTGAGGAAGTTAAGTATTAATTTTCTGTTTTTATACAGTGGTACTTGAAAGTTTGTGAACCCTTTAGAATTTTCTATTGGTCATTTATTTATTGAGGAAAATAATTCAATATTACACATCTGTGAATGGCAAAAGCATGTGAACCTTTGCTTTCAGTATCTGTGTGACCCCCCTTGTGCAGCAATAATTGCAACTAAACATTTCCGGTAACTGTTAATTAGTCCTGCACATCGGCTTGGTAGAATTTTAGCCCATTCCTCTGTACAAAACAGCTTCAACTCTGTTATGTTGATGGGTTTCCTCCCATGAACTGCTTGTTTCAGGTCATTCCACATTTCTGTAGGATTAAGTTCAGGACTTTGACTTATCCATTCAAAAACATTAACTTTATTTTTCTTTAACCATTCTTTGGTAAAAAGATTTGTGTACTTGGGTTCGTTGTCTTGCCGCATGACCCACGTTCTAAGTTTTAGCTCTTTGACAGATGTCCTGACATTTTCCTTTAGAATTTGCTGGTATAATTCAGAGTTTACTGTTCCTTCAAGGACAGCAAGCCATCCTGGCCCAGATGCAACAGAACAGCCCCAAACCATGAACTACCACCACCATGTTTTACAGATGGGATATGGTTTTTATGCTGGAATACAGTGTTTTCCTTTATCCAAACAAAATGCTTCTCATTCAAACCAAAAAGTTTTATTTTGGTCTCCTCCGTCCAAAAAACATTGTTCCAATAGTCTTCAGGCTTGTCCATGTGATCTTTAGAAAACTGTAGATAGCCAGCAATGTTCTTTTTGGAGAGCAGCGGTTTTCTCCTTGCCACCCTGCCATGCACACCATTGTTGTTCAGTGTTCACCTGATGGTGGACTCATGAACATTAACATTAGCGACTGTGAGACAGGTCTTTAGTTGTTTAGAAGTTACCCTAGGGTCCTTTGTGACCTCACGGACTATTACATGCCTTGCTATTGGTGTGATCTTTGTTGGTCAACCACTCCTGGGAAGCGTAACAATGGTCTTGAATTTCCTACATTTGTACATATACTGTCTGACTGTGGATTGGTGGAGTCTTTAGAGATGGTTTTGTAACCTTTTCCAGTCTGATGAGCATCAGCTCTTCTTCTGCAGTCCTCAGAAGTCTCCTTAGTTTGTGCCATTAAACACTTCCATAAACATGCGTTGTGAAGATCAGACTGTGTTAGCTCCCTGTTCTTTAAATAAAACAGGGTGGTCACTCACACCTCATTGCCAACCCATTGATTGAAAACAACTTCACATTCAAATTATCTGTTAATCCTAAATGTTCACATACTCTTGTCATTCATAGATATGTAATATTGGACCATTTTCCTCAAAAAATAAATGACCAAGTCTAATATTTTTGTCTCATATGTTTAATTTGTTTCTCTTTATCTACTATTAGGACTTTTAGGTCAAATTTATGCCAAAAAGTAGAAAATTCTAAAGGGTTCACAAACTTTCAAGCACCACTGTATGTGCTGAAGTAGCAACTTAAAAAACTTAGAATTATGAATGGTTAACTACAACAAAAGCGAGCCATTACTTAGCACCCTGTACTCAGCAGAAAGATACAGTTGAAATGAAACATGCTGTTATCACAAACATCATCACAGGAAGAACGCATCTTAAGCAATCAGACTGCAAGGTCAGAATTAACTGTTGTATAATGACTCATTTTACATAGCCACCACATGGTCAGACATGGCAATTAGTAAACTTTTACATTACGTAAATATTTTACATAGACATTGGATATGTTTACATGCAAAGACATTTGCCAGTCTGATTGAATACATTCCGATTACAGATTAAGATGTTTATATGCTCACTCTACTCAACAATCTGATGGAAAATCTTCATTTACATGCGCACTACAAGTGACCTGAGTAATCCAATGAGTGGAGTACCACTTAGAATAAACGTTACCATGACAGCGAACATCACGTGAGGTCCAGTCAGAGTGAAATGAGTTTTCAGTTGGTACGCTTGTGTTTAATTGCTTTAAAATGATGTCAGATGTCATAATTTTCTCAGGAAAATGTTCTTCACATGTACTTATTAAAGAAGGGCGAGAGGAGACACATAAGCCCGTCCCACCGCCTTGTTTTAAAGTGAAAGCATAAACTTCATCTCCTCTGCAGACCAGTTTCTGCTCCCGCCATGTTTAACGTTATAAACTTTCGCTATGACGTGAATGCACTTGCGCAGAACATACTTGCACGTTCCGACTGGAAATGTAATCGGAAACAGGTGTTTACATGGTTATTATTTTTCTATTTAACGGATTATTTACAGAATTACCCACTTTGTTCAATCGGACAGAAATTGTATTCTGAATGGCCTCCATCGGACTAGTCTATTCCGATTGAGGTGTATACATGGACGTATTCTATTCCGATTGAGCTATTAGTCAGATTATTAACGGAATATTAGGCTGCATGTAAACGTGGCTATTGTTACTGACAAGAGTTGACCAAAAAGCTGATTTTTGCTTTTAAGACAATGTAGTTAAAAAGATGCAGTTTCCTCTGATTGGGTGGTCAGATTGAGCAGAATCCTAGAAATAGCATTTTATGATACTTGCTATAACGGTAATTGTTTAGCAATTATGTTTTTCCACCATCATGTGGTATTTCAAACATCATTACTACATAATAATAATAGTAATAATAATAATAAGAAGAAGAACAACAACAACAACAACAACAAAAACAACTGTTAACAATAAAACATAATAGTTGATAGTTGTAGCTCTATTCAGTATTAATAATGTCTTGTTACAAGTAAGAATTGAGGATTTAAAGAAGTGACGGGGTACCTCTTACCCATCACTGGTGGAATCAGTCTTGCTGTGTGCTCTCTCATAGCCAGGTGAGTAGGTGTAGCCCTCCCAGTCATCAGATGGAGCACTGCGGTCAGACACGCTGGGCCAGCGAGCGATTGCCAGAGAGCCATTATGTGCAGGAAAGGCTAGGCCCAAGCTGGCCAGGTCGCTCTGGCTCCTCTGAAAGGACTGAATACCTTTCAGGCTGTCTGGCCTATGTGGTGCATCCTCTACGGCCAAATGTGCATGACCCTCTGATTCTGTGATGGCACTTCCCCCTACTGAGCTGTCTATCGGAGCCTCCTGCTCCCCCTCCATGCTGATGGAACGGGTGTGAGAGGCCTGCTCGACCTCATCCACGTCCTGAGTGTCACAGATTGTCTTGGCTGACTCACAGCTGCTAAGAAGGTGCTCAACCTCGCCCCGCTTCAGTGTCTCTGTGCTGCCCAGAGTCTGGTGGGTAGTCAGGGATGCTTCCTGATCTCGCTTTGGTGGTTTGACTGAGTCTTGGCGAACCCGACATTCCACAAAGGCAGGGGATGAGTGAAAAGAAGGAAAGGAGCTGGGAGGAAGGAGCAAGGAGAGGTCATCACCTCCATGTTCTGAAGAGGGAGGCTGGTGCACTGTGGGGCAAAAATAATTAATTAGTTTACGGATACAACATAAGGATGTTAAACCAGCAAACTCCATAAGCCTCATGGTTTTCCACAGCTAAGCTAATTTGGAAAAGTAAAAGCACTCTGTAAGCACTAAAACAATAAGAGGAAAGTGTCTTTTTTTGTACAGTGATGCACTATTTCTTACTGTAGCATAATTTTCTTTCTTCAATTTTCACATGACCATTGTCCATCCTCTTTTTATCCAGACTGTTTTTTTTATTACTGTGCCTTTTTGACCAAAAATATGTAAATAATCACTGTGGCTTACTGGTGAAGACTGACAAGGAGCATATATGTAAATATGTTTGCCTGACATCACAAAAACAATGAATTCAAAAGGGACTACTGTTTAAGCTTTATTTCTATATATATATATACTGTGTAGTGAACTGTATGCTTTGAAACTTACACGAACCATATCTGACATTTTTATTGCACTCGCACTTTTATTCCTAAAACGCAAGCAGACTGCAACTCCTTCACATAACTGTATTTCTCTGAAGCCCTTTGACAGTCCTTTGCTACATCAGTTCGTAGTTGTTTGTGTTAAGACACTTTTGTTTTTACTCTACTTTTAATAACATGAAATGCATTTGTGGTGGAATATAAATTCAGATAAACTGGAATCCTGGATAATTAAATTCTTCCACTCTTTTTACTTCAGAATGTACTCACTTGTCTCTTTCCAGTTGATGTTTTACTCTATGATGAAATACCACCCAAGTAAAAAAAAGAAATATTTGACTGTTAATTTGTTAAAAGACTATTTCTGTACTCTGAAACTATACAGAGAACTTTCATTATATGATCATGAAAATAAGTGTACCACTTTCAGGCTGTCCTGCATAGCTATCCATTGCACTGCTTCCACCACATTCTGCAGGAAGTTTACGTGTTTTTTTTTTCCTGTGTTTCGTTTTAACATACGCATCACTATGACGGACATTTTTCATCATGTTATTAAGCACAGCTGTATTCTAAGTCTGTAAGTCTAAATTTAGTACTGATTTCCTTCAAAACATTTGTGGGACAGTTCTAGAGATACTGAACTGTTTTATTGCCGAACCTGCAAATCATGATTTCTACCATTAGCATTTGTCTTTTTATCTCAAAGTATTTCTGTATTTCACTGTATAAATTGGCATGACATAGCACATTCTGACATTAACAAAGTCACAATTACTAATTAGGGGTCCAAGCACCTTTAGGTGCATGAAACCCTATTGCTTTTGCTAGGATTTTTCTTCTTTTTCTTATTATTATGCTTTTTCTGCCCTAAAATTGATTGTGGAGAAGACACCGTAAGTCATCCAAAGAACAATCTTGGAAGGGAAGGTGTAGATTCCCCCCCACTACTCAGGCTAGTGAAATGACCCCAGTTGGCCTGGTGGTGGAGCTATAGAGCAATATTTTACGTTTTGGCCCATATCTCCTGAACCGTGGGGCCTACAGTCAAAATTCTTGCTTCTACACAATCCTTACTTTAGTCTACATAAATGCTCCATTGCATGTATTTAGCTCCACCCCCATATTTTCCATCATAATTGGCAAAATATGTGACATACATTTTTCTACTAGTCTGAGGATTTTCAAGATCTCCACAAAATATTGGTCTCAAAATGTTCAGGAGAGTCTGGAGGTCAAGAATTATCAAAAAAATGTAATATTTATAAACAATATGGCTGCCACATGCCAATTAAGCCCCTCTGGGTTTGGCTTAATTCACATAAATAAGCCAAATCAGTAACTGCAAATGTCATTGTTGAAATATACATGGAAAGCTTTACTGTATGTCTCTAGTGAAGAGCATTTCTGAATGTTATGCTTTCCACTGAGCCTAACAATTTTGCAAATACAAGTCTTAAAAAAAAACTTTCAGTAATTGCACAGTTGAAAAAGGAGAATAGACATTTTCTTACTAACTCTTGAGTTTAAATCTAATTTCATTTTTCTTAAAACAATCTAAATTATAGAAAAATAGCATGACTTTTAAGCAGTGTGGCTGAAGATTTGAATAAATTGGTGTGAATTGGCTTATTCTGCTATAAAAGGCTAAAATTACACCAATAATTGTCTGAATATAACAAAATTTGACACAAATATACAAAATGACAAACTGAGGGTATATTATGATTTCATTTAGTCACAGTAATTGCAAGGTGGGAACTAATTCCCAAAATGGTGCTTGGTTCCTTATTGCTCCGTACCAATAAATTGTCTCAAAAAAAAGGTCTGCTGTGGGCCTCTTGTAGTTCACCATGAAAACATCTGTCTTTGAAGATTAAGCTTGTGGGTTTGATTCCCTGTCACAGATGTAGGATGGTGCTGTAGCAATTGTTGTGAACACACACTTAATTATCTTAATCTTAAGGAAGGGTCTTTCTTAAAAATCCAACGATTTGCTGCCTTCTATGACCAGAGACATGAAAATTTGTTTATTCTGCTACTTTGTCATAAATTGGTGCGTGGTTCCTTGTTGCTTCCTCTCAATAAATTGTTTCAAAAATTGCAGCTGTGCCTCAGATGTCTTGTGGCTCACCATGAGAGCCTCCGCCTTCGAACTCTAGGGTCATGGGTTCGAATCCCTGTCATGGATGTTAAACTGAGTTGCGTAGATTGTAGCAGATGTATCACCTAGTGGTCTTAATCATAAGAAAAGGAGGTCTCTCTTAAAAATCTAAACATCTGCTGCATTCTACGACCAGAGGCCACTACTTAAATCCTCGATGTCGTCCTGGTGCTTGGACCCTGCAGATTGCCACTTGCAGCTATATTTTTTTTTTGTTTTGTTTGTTTGGTTTTTGCCATAATCCAACTGACTTATGCAGGTTGGGATAGAATAAAGTAAGAATGTAAAACTTCTCCTAAGCTAAATTCATTCTTGTAATGTCAGATGACATTTATTGCATTTTTTAAAATAGTGTTTAAAATGTTAAACATTCATGGAAGTTCAACTTAGAAATATGTTTATCCATTAATAAGCATGTTTCTAACATTCGTAACTGTTCTGTTGAAGAAAAGGCAATTTTGTCATGTCTTTGTGGCTGTGGCATTAATATGATTAGATGAGCTGTGGATATCTAAAAGTCATGCAGACATCATTATCAGAGAAAACATTTGGGCACCAACAATGCTACTGTGTCTGATCCATATGTACCACTGCAACACTCCTGACCAGAACAGGGTAAAAAGGGGCTAGCAAAGTATGCAAACAGATGCACTACAGTCTGTAATTACAGAACTGCAAAGTGCCCCTTTATGGCAATTGGAGCTGATAAAATGGACAACGAGTGTAGAAACAAGGAGTTAAACGTAATGAAGTGGCTGGTCTTACATGCAATACACAGTGGATCACGTTATAACATGTTGATGTATTTTATTGTCACCTCCTTCTCTTCTGTCACATACATTGCAGCTAAGTTACATCAATGCATCCATGGGTAGATTAGAAGCAGCTTGTCCCTTGCAAAGAGTAAAATATGTCATGCAAACTGGCAAATCCCTTTTCATCAGCTAAGCAACTAAGCTACCAAAAGTGGAGTATGTGGATGTGGAGAAGCTCCAAGAGACATACGAGGTTTTTTGAGGACTAAGAGAAGTTCTGTAAAATGCCTTGATATAACCTATAAAGTAGGCTTGGACTAGGAACTAAATTTAGTCTTGGACTTCTAGACTAGCCAACTACAATCATAATGATTGTAGCCATCTGTAGCCTTACTGTACAAGTAGACTAAATGAACAGGCTAACTTACTTACTGCTTACTGCTAACCCCTACTGTACTTTAGCCCTGCGAATCCTCAACGCTCCCAGTTGTTCTCATAATACGGAGAATGCAGTGCGCCACCAACCTGTCTAGATATGAGCACTCCAGTATTCGCACATGCCATTTGTACCAGGTGGTATCCATTAATTTTATAGAGTACTACATTAGAAACAACCATGTATTTCTCTCTATTTGACTCTTTCAGCAGCCCACCAAGAATTGCCCCTAGAGTGCCAGAAGTTCCTCCTTGTGGCTAATCTTGTTAAACATGAGTGTGTGCATGCATGAGAAAGTGTCTCTGATAATCCATCTTTTTGAGTTCAGGCTTTAATTTCATGCAAGTGCAGTCCTCTATTATAGGCTAAGACCCAGATTTCAGTAAAGTTGCTTTGTGACAACACTCTTTGTAAAACATGCTATACGAAAAAATTGAAAAATGTAATTCTAAACATCTATTATGAAAAACAGCTTCCATGTTTATATCTACGTATGTTGGAAAAAAAAAAGCAGAAGTGGAAGCTGCACCCAGGACATTCTGGACATTTTGTTCAGCCTATTTCTGTCTGTCCTTACATGGTCACTTCTATCACACCTTTGCTTTGCTGATCCTATTATTAGCAACTGTCCAAGCCATGTGCCCGAGCCTATATAACCACGACTATGTCAATTGTTCCTTGGGTCTGTCTGTTTGTGTACTTGCATAACTAAATTTTGATAGATTCTCCAGACACAAGGCAGATCTCCTAATGAAAAAGGTTGAAACTTTACACTAGTCAGAAAACTAACATCACAGCTCATGCTGCCTGTTTAATGTACTGTAGCATCCTGCTCCAGCTCTTTCAGCCTTGGACGTGCAGAGCAGCGAGTGCAGAGCACAATAGGTACCACTCTGCAGCGGTGAGATAGACCTAAAATCATTTAAATAGTTCTGTTATGAACATTTTTACTGTCTTTATGAGTTCTGGGTGTACTAATGTGCTGGGTTTGCCTGCTTCCCGGCCGTGTTAATTGCGCTGAGTGGGTTTCCCCTGCTGCTATGTTAATAAAAGAGAACTCGTTTAAAGCACTATGTTTTCCAAATTCTTTTTTTCTTCTACGCCGATGCCACAATAATTTGCACCACGCCTGCTATATTGCAGAAAAAATGTGTTCTTTTCTTTATTCATATATTTAATTCATAGATTCTACATAATTCTAATATAACAATGGATGGGCTGCTAATCAATGATCCTGGTCGCACATCTTCCCCATATGTTATAGGTCAGCAAGATGTTTACACAAAATTTGGTAAATGAATTTATCCTCTTAGTAACATCAGCGTTATTATTGTGGGCTGTGTTCTAGCTCAGTCTGCTGCTGTGATCAAAGTGGACGTGGATTTGTAATGAAATTTGCAGTGAAATACCTTCAGATCGTATCTCAGTGAAAGGTGTAGGGGAGAGAGAGAGCACAGAGCTGCAGGCAGACTTCCCCCCACTGCTGGAGTGGCGCAGGTACATCATGGACTGAACCTTCTCCTGGTACTGCTTTCCATCTGACACACAAATATTAATGATAAACAAATGATGTACATGAAATACCAAAGCATACTGTAATGCAAAATGCATTAAAATATACCAAAAATGTTTTTTCTACTGTGCTCTTAAAATTTTTTTCTTTTCTTACAATTGGAAGTCTTACAGATTGATAATGTTAGACACACAAATCAGACACAAACATTTCCAGAAAAAAAACTAATTATCAAAATCTAATATACAGTGCCCCACACCTAAATATTGGCAGCCCTCTAACAAATACTGGCACCCGGGAAATCATGAGCAAAATGGCCTGTAAAAACACTTAATTACGCCTCCTTTTGATCTTTCATTTGTAGTATAGCAAAAATCTATCCTTTACTTGAGGTATAATGATTGAAAGAAAAAAATTACATCTTGCCATGAAATAAATATTTTTCCTAAATCTGTGTGTGCCACAATTATTGGCACCCGTGGGAATTCGTAAGGGTGAAATCTAACCTAAGTATATTCCCATTCATATTTTATGTTCTAAAGTTCACCTGAGTGGTTAGAAACACTTAAAAGTTTAGCTATGACAATGTTTGACTGGGGAACATATTTGAGATGAAACACAGGCCAATTCTTTAGTCATCCATCATGAGAAAGACCAGAGAATACAACAATGATGTGAAGGTTGTTGAGCTGCACAAATCAGTAAACTGCTACTGCTACAAGAAAATAGCTAAAAAACGTTTCAACCAGCCGCAGATGTTAACAATCTGCACAGAAGAGGACACATGCCTATACTGTTCCCTACGGTTTGCTAAATGTCACTGTAACTTTCAGTGGAATTGTGTTCTATGGTCAGATGAGACAAAAACAGAGCTTTTGGCAAGAACCACCAAGAGATAGGCTTGGCCTAGATACAAAGATAGCCATGCAGAACAGTATATCATCCCTACTGTGAAGTATGGTGGTGGATCTGTGATACTGTGGGTTATTTTCCTCCCAAAGGACCTGGACAACTTGTTTGAATACACGGTATCGCAGACTCCATCAGGTACTAGCAAATAAAATCAAAATCTAAATACCTCAGCCAGGAAGCTAAAACTGGGCTATAGTCTGCATCTTTCAGCAGGACTATGTTCCAAAGCACACCTCAAAATGAACACAAAAATGGTTCACTGACAACAGAATCAAGGATTTGCCCAGGCCATCCCAGTCCACTGACCTAAACCCCAGAAAACTTGTGGGACGAGCTGAAGAGGAGAGTCCACAAGCATGGACTTCGGATTTTGAAGGATCTGGAAGGATTCTGTATGGAGGAATTATGTCAGATCTCTTGCCATGTGTTCCCAGGTTTATTAAGCATTGCACGAGAAGACTAAGAGCTGTTATCTTTGTAAAGGGAGGCTGCACAAAGTATTAAATGATGGGATGCCAACAATTGTGGCACACATAAATTTGAGAAAATATTTATTTCATGATCAGATCTAGGTTTCAATCATTGTACTTTAAATAAAGGTTAGATTTTTGTTCACATTTTGAATGAAAGATCAAAAGGACAAGCAATAAAAAATGTTTTTTTTTGTTTTTTTGTTTTTTTTTTACAGTTTTGCTCATGTTTACCGGGGTGCCAATAATTTGTGGAGGAGGGCATTGTAAATATATTTTTTTAATTAATTATTTATTTTATTATGGATTTATTTTTTAAACATTCAATTATTCTTATTAATATTTTGTCCAGCAGAACGCAAATCTTGGCCAATCATTCTTGGCCAAATTACATATTTGGTTGATTTTTGAAGCGAAAAGAAGTAAACACAACCTATGCAGTAAAATATCAAACAGAAAAAAAAAACATTTTCTATAAATGGAAATGCACAGTTACTTTAGATTTGATTAACATAAAGGCAGAGTATAAGATCTTAATCTAATCCATTTTGTCCAATTCTGTGAATGTCTTCTCATGGTCCGCTAGCTATCCCTTCTGTGTCCATGCTGGGGGAAAAAAAAATGTTCACATACAGCCCTGTCTCTGAAAACAGGAAATAAACAACGTGGTTTGGGAAAGTTATACAACAAAATTCCAGCCAATTAGCAACGTCATGCACAGGACAGGGGGGAAGGGGAGGGGCTACGTGCTGAACCCCACACATCATCAAAAAGGAAACAGCCAAAGAGGAGAAAATCTGAAGAACAAAGATTGAAAAAGAAGTTCACAGGTCCGGCAATGGCGTTTCAGCGTCTGAAAGTCCTTCTGGAGTTTACTGTGAGGCATTTCAACGGTGCAGAGACCTCCCAAAGTTGACGAGGCTGAAGCTGGCTTCCAATCTGCATTTTCCATTTACATTTTAAATTATGCAGCGGTTTCATTCTGGCACCTGAGGCACCAGAAGGTGTCTGCTGCACCATTTAAGGTGGAATGTGAAAATTCAAAGAAGAAGCTGCAGTGGTGGAATGTAACTGCTGCACCATTTAAGGTAGTATGGGAAAATTCAGACAAGAAGCTGTGGCACAGGAATGTAAGTGAATCTGACTTGAAACAGGAAAATCTGAGCAACAAGCTGGTGGAAAAGAAGTTGATTTCAGTTTCATGGAGCATTGAAAGGCATGAGAAGGTATGAGGAGGCTGCTCTATTCTGCTTGACAGGTGGGTAACAGTAACAGACCCAGCCGGGTCTGTTTGTCCCGACTGCTAATGTTTGTAAAAGCAACTAGTTACCTTCACAGCAGTAATTTTAGAGTACAATGTAGAGTAATTGTACAGTTTGCTCTCAACCTAGCTAACATTAGTTACATCACTTGCTGTGTTGTTCCTCCCTCTAACATTGTATTATGGCAAGGGTTTTATGTGTTTTATGCTTTAGGCAATGCATTTCATTGATTTTGAGGCGCATAGCATCTGGAAGAGCACTGAAGGCAGAACTCTACGTCTTGCTGTTGAGTTCAAATATTAACAATCGTTCTCCAGAATCATATACTGTGCCTTTAAAGAATACAGTAGCATGTGCAAAAGTTCAGACACCCAGCAGTAAGGTCTCAGAACTTAAAAGGCCTTAAGTGAGTCATTGATACCGGTTAGGTAGGTCAAGAACCATCATTAGGAATTGTCAGCTGATGACAATTTCAGAACATAATACAGTCTCTGACTCTTTAAAACATGTACTAACACTCAACAACCATGGGCTCCTCTAAGCAGCTGGCTGAGGATCTGAAAATGAAGCTAATTGATGTCTACAAAGAAGGGACAGGTTATAAAGTTATCAAAGCACCTCCAGCTCACAATATCCACTCGCCAAATTGTCATTAGGAAATAGCAGTTATGGGAAACTATGAAAGTTAAGGCATGGGTCATGTGGCGGCCAGTGTCTCAAGACACGGGTAGATGGAAGAATGGATTCCACTAAATATTAGCAAATTCTGGAAGCAAATGTTAGTCAAGAAACTGAACCCAAAGAGAGGCTGGCTCCTACAACAGGACATCTTTTAAAATCCACCATGAACTTCAAGAAACGCAAGTTGAAGCTTTTAGACTGACTCAATGTTTCCTGACTTGAACATCATTAAAAAAAATCTGTGGGTAGAACGTAAACAGGCTGTGCATGCAAGAATTATCTGAGAACTAGAAGTGTTCTGCAATGAAGAGTGAGTGGCAATTAATTAATTATTAAAATAAGAACATAAAGACTCACAGCGGACTTCAAAAAGGTTTCGAAGCTGTGATTTCTGCCTGAGGGAGGCTTGCTAAGTACTAAGCTCTTCAAAACACAGTTAACTGTTAGGTCCTGGAAAGCATGTGTAAAGCATACAATCAGAATACAGCATGAATCACGAATTGTTAAATATCAAGGACACAATGTTTGTTATTTATTAATATTGTTAAAGTCGAGAATCAGTATTATGTGACACCAATGTAACACAGGACTACTATCAATATACTAATCAATTAGCCAATTTATCTCTCCATCAGTCCCTCCACCATGCTCATCATCTCTATCTATCCAGTGCAGAAAATAATGCATTTTAAAAAGGGCAATTTTTCCACAATTACTGAAATGTAGATGCAAATGTGGGCACTTTGCAAAATATTCAAAATAACATTTTTACCTAATCAAAATAACGACTAGTAACTTAATCTCAACAGCAAAAAAATGACATATAAAGCAGTGTATACTTAATGTCTCTTCCATTTAATTTGAGACATCTGCATTTGCAGTAGCTTCTTTTAAAACATAGCTCAGAGCTGTTTTGTTTAGTCCTATAGTATCACTGATTTATTACACTTTTAAGTTAATTCATTTTGATTTTTTACATTTATATCATGTTATTTCGAGCCAGGTTTGGCCCCTGTCAAACCTGGCTCGAAGTTAAATATTGGCACATTTCCATTCTTTGCCCCTGGTTATTTCTGACGCTGTCATCTATCTCTCTAATGATCTATCTATGTCATCCAGTCACCCACCGACGTGCAGAGAGAAGTAGAAGCTGGAGGGGGTGTGACACACGTATGTGTTTGTAGGTGGGTGTACAGCCAGCAGAAAGTTATAGAGCAGGCGCAGCAGGTCAAGGTCAGGGGGAGAGCCCAACACTTCCTGGATGATTTTGATGAAGGAGAAGCAAACTTCCTGTGGGATGGATGTGAGGTGCTCATCCCGATTCTCCTAAGAGAAGGTATGAAAAGAGGTTGTAAAAATAAAATACAAGAACAGTAATGTTTTAACAAGACATGCTTGTCTTGCTCATCTGAAACTGGGGCTGCAAAGTATGTTGTATGTTAACAGTTATTACAATTCTCTCAAATGTCACGAAAGAGGTTGCTCTTCACCCACTTCACAAGTCGATGCTCCAACTAATCACAAAAAAATTTCCACTGCGTGCTATCTTGGACCTGCTTTACGAGTGAAATTAATTTCTACCATTTTTAGACATAGGGATGAATCAACAATTTCAAAGGAGCTCAGTGATGTAAAGCTTCAGGTGGGTGGTGTCTCACCTGCAGAACCTGGCAGGTGAGCAAAAAGCGATGCACAACCTGAGCTTTGAGGAGCTGACGAATATTGAATGTTTGTTGTGGATGGTGCACTCTGATGAGGATCTCCAGAGCAACCAGCAGTGTCTCCCAGACTCCAATCTGCCAAAGGCAAAAAACAGAGTACTGTATAAGTGTTTTAGGCACGTTAGAAAATTAGATTTAAAAAGTTATTTATCTAGCTTTGTATCTCTGATATGGTAAGGACGTCTTCTGTAATACAATGAAACAGGACTGTAAAATAAAGTGGTTTGTTGCGCACTGTAACAATGTGAATGCTAATATTAAAGTACAAAGCAACTAGTGAGTATTTGTAATTGCTACATAAGCATCTAATAAACTTTAGGTATTTACTTTATTTAAGGTCCTAAAATGTATTTATTTTTTAAGTTTATTCAGTAAGTAACGTCTTTAGATTGCACTGGTAATTAAGACAATCACCTAAAGCAGCAAAACAGAGGAAGACATGCAACAGCCACACCTCCTACTATTGCAGAGATTCTGGTCAATTTAGCCACTCAACATGGCCAAAAACCACCTGCTATAACAGGAAAAGTCCATTTGACTGACATTAACAAAGGCAACTTTTTGCAAGATATGCAGATTGATCCTCCTGCTTTCTTTACATACTCTGCTGCTGCATGTTAACTTGCCAGCAACCAACATTCTCTTACCTGTCTGAATGAAAAACTCTTGCATTGAAGTGTGTTTTTTCATAAAGGAGATACATGTATAAATTATTTGAATGGCTATACCATTTTTAATAACTTAATTACCAACTTATATTAAGAGAGCACAAATGTCCTGTACAGGTGACTAGTACTTTAAAACAAAACAAAAAAAAAAACCAAAACAAAACATGCAGTACAAATGGTAATAAAAAATCTAATAACTAAAAAAGCTGGTAATAAACACTTTTTTGTGTTTGAATTAGTCCAGTCAAAATTGATGCATTAACAAAACATTAAAGGGATAAATTACCAATTCCACTGTACTTTTCTTAAACACCATTAACAAATTGAAGTTGGATCTTTTAAGTCATCTGCAGGTTCAGGCTGAAGCACAGCTGCTCACGTGCTGTGACTGGACTGTTTCCATATTTATCCTGCTATGACTGACTGTAACAATCATTCAAAAGCATCTTTTAAATTGCACGTTCCATTGATGGCGGTCTTCATTAAACATAAATGTGATTTCCAGCTAATGCAATGCCGTGAATTTGTTTATCACAAATACATTGTACAAACACAAAGCACACCGAGTCTAAAGTATCAAGTCTGAAGTGCGTATGTGTGTGAGCATATGTACCTGAGCTTTGGCCCATATATTCCAGTCCAGTAGTACTTCAGAGAGCAGCCTGAGGTCCTGCACCACAGCAGTGGATTCAGTATCCAGATGCCACTGGCCATCCTCCCCTACCATCAGGATTGAGCCACTGCAGCAGCCGTCCAGCAGAGTCTACAGATGCAGACATGGACTTGATTAATATAACAGGATGGCGCAGGATAAAGGTGGAACAGTTTGGTTACTATCTTCAAGTTTCATGTAAATGTTTTCTTTTTATTATCGATGGACAAATATTAGCACTGATGAAAATCTAACGATGAAATTTAGTGCTGTCGACTAATTTCCTATTTTGATAAATTAATTAGTGGTTAAGCGTTAAAGGGCAGAAACATCCTTTGACACTTTAAACCTACAGTAAACCTAAACAGATGAGCCAAAACATTATGATCAGATGAACAGATGAAGCGAAAAACGATAATTATCTTATAACAATGATGTATGTCAACGTCTGGCATATATTAGACAGTAAGCAAACAGGTGATTTTCATAGTCAGTGTGCTGGACGTGGTGGAAATGGGCACGCTTGAAGACTTGAGCAACTTTGATGGGCCAGTTCCATATGGCTAGATGACTTGGTTCAAGCATAACCAAAATGGCAAGGCTTGTTTGAAACCACAAACTGGTGAGTGGAGGGTTTGGACGCCCAAGGATTACAGACACAGATGCTGGACGCCTAAGGCTCACAGACGCGCAGGCGCAACAAAGGCTATCCTCCGGTCTGAACAGACAGAAGGGCTACTGTGGCAGTCACAGAATTTTTTAATGATGGTTACAGGAGAAACGTGTCACAATACACACTGCATTGAACCCGGCTGTGTAGCTGTAGACCATTCAGGGTGCCCATGCTAGCCTCTGTCCACTGCCAAAAGCACCCACAATGGGCATAAGAATGTCTGAACTGGACCTTGGAGCAGTGGAAGGTCGCCTGGTCTGATGAGTGCCATTTACCTGGGTAAATGATGGCAACAGGATGCACTGTGGGAAGAAGACAAGCTGGTGGAGGGAGTGTGATGCTCTGGGCAAAGTTCTGCTTGGAAATTCTGTGTCCGGACATTCATGTGGCACCTACTTTAACATATTTGCAGACCATGTACACCCCTTCATGTCAGTGGTAATCCCTGATGGCAGAGCCCATTTTCCGTAGGATAATTTGCCCTCTTCATACATTGTACAGGAAAGATGTGAGGAATGTGACAAGGAGTTCAAGCTGTTGCCTTTACCTCCAAATGACCCAGATCTCAATCTAAATGCTAATGTGTCTTGGTGCCAGATACCTCAGTGCACTTTCAGGGGCCTTACAGACTCCACGTCTCAGTGGGTCACAGCTGTTTTCATGGCATGTGGAGGACGAACAGCATATTAGGTAGGTGGTCATAATATTTTAGCTCATCTGTGTATTGTTTTGCATGGATAGATAAAGCTATGTGATTTTCAATTATTTTCAGTTTGTGTGTGTAACATTATGCCATAAAGTACACTCACAACACCACACAGCACAACGCTGATGCTAAGCTTATCACTGGAACACGAACATGTCCACTACTGAGGAGATTATTCAGTTTAATTATCCCTCAGAAAAGCTTAACAACCTGAACTAATAAATGGCTCATCGCATTGGCTTATCGGTTCACGGCTTGAAAAGAAGCCATTTTTTTATTTTTTGTTTAGAGTCTAACGAGTGTTTGGTACACATTCCTTGATTCTAAATCACTTAATAAACAAACATTGATATTTTTTTTAAGATTGTATGGTTCTTTTTTGTAAGTATTTCCCTAAAAATGTAAAAAAGTTACTGCATTCTGAATAGTGCCTTTTCAACATGTAATGTGGACTGAATAGAGACACATAATTTCTGTATTCTCAATATATATTATAAATACTTGTAATCAGTTACACCCTTGTCACCCAACCTTGTTGTTTTGTCAACAGCAACCTTGTTAAAGATTTATTACTCTGTTATTCATGGTTTGTGTTAAGATGTAGTAACCATGTTTAATAGTGTGGTATTGAAACACCACAGACCACAATGTTCTATTACATGTCTCCTTATTTAGATAATTTCTAACTCACCATCATGGGTTTCTAAACATTAACACAGTGAAGACAATGAATGTGGGGCACAAATAAACATTTTGGTTATGCTTAATTTTAAACATATTACAAGAATATGTCTTCTGCATTTGACAGTATCACCACCTACTGTAATATTCAAGACCAGAGCACAATGCTCTTGACCATGCCACTGACCTTATTATTACTATTTCCAGACATGCAAAAATAAAACAATAAAATGAAAGGTCTATAAAATAAATTTTCCACTCAGTCCTGTGTTAATTTAGGCTTAATGGCATGCCACCTATTGACTTGAGCCATTAGAAGCTCCATTAGAAATCTTCCAATCTAATGTTGCTATCACTATTAAAAAATAAAATAAAAAGGACGCATTATTCCTAGCCTTAAAAGAAAATAGTACCACCTGAAACCTCCATAATTTCTTCTGTCATGGATGACATGGATCCTTGCAATTGGGTTCAACGAAGTACAACACACGCTCACCTTAAGGATATGATATCCTACAATGCACTTCGTCTTGATGAGGACTTGGTGAATCATAGAGTAACCATGATAACACTCCATCTCGTGTGAGCGATGCTGATTGTACTTAACCAGGGATAACAGCACCTGCAGAGCCAGTGCCTGCGTCCTCTCACAATCACTCAACTCCACTGACTGTGAGAGCAAGGGAGCATGAGAGAGAAGAAGAGGGAGGAATGGGAAAGACCTTAAATTCAACCAGTAACATAAGTTACTTTCTTTCAACATATTTATGCAATTATCATCCACTGCTCTAGCAACTAACAAAAGCAAATCTTGTGAAACAGAGAATGTAGCTTTAGGGGATGATTAGGTCCTGGGATTTTAATTAGAGGCATGTTAGGCTGTGAGAGCAGATTTGAACATTCAACTCCACAACGAACGCCACATAAAAAAAAAATAATAATAAAAATCAAAACTTCACCTGAAAGAAAATAAGCAGTGATCTGCTCTTTTGAAGAGACGAAGAAATATTCTGGTATAAACAAAAAATATCTCCCAAATTCTTTGATTCTACAAAAAACTAGTTACTTTTAACAAATGTACAGGTCATTCAGTACCATTCAAAAGTTTGGTAAAGTTGTGGTAATTTTATAGCACATAACTTTTGAAATATAGATTTAAATATTACAAATCAGACCTTAAACAGTTAAATTATAGAATATAACAGTTATGTGTTATATTTTATAATTTAAGTATTACAGGATCAGTAAGAATTTATTAAATTAAATTATGTATGCTTTCTTTCACAGTCCCTTAATTTCTCAGTTTTACTGGGCAAGTACAAGGCAAAAACTCCAAAGAACTACATTTATCTTGGGTAACATCATGGTAAATTCTAAAGCAATCTAAATAAGACATAATGAAATGTTACCTGGATAAATATAAGGTACAAACTCCACAGTACTTAGCAATTTTTGGGGGTAAAAAGTACCAGGTAGTTACATGCCATAAAAACACTTTTGTAAGACAAAAGAGTGTCTTACATGATATGTATCTTTCTATAACCTATGAAACTAAAAAACTAATTTCTATGAGAATTTGTATTAAACTAAATCTATGATATAAAAGAAAACAAAAAACTGTGGATTTACTGGGTCTTCACAAAACTTTGCATTTTGTGTCAAAATTGATGCATTTTACTCCATATAACGTACCTGGTACTGGGAGGTGTTTCTGTTTCACTTTCCTGCCTAAATTTGTGGTATTACATTGAAATTTGGTGTGAGTTTGTTTAGGGGAGATTTTACTATGTCCTTTATCAGACATGTCTAGACATTTATGCAGAATTTTTTTTTAACTCATTTATTTATTTATTTATTTATTTTTTTTTAAAAAAACTTACTTGTATCTTTCATTTTTCAAAACTGGTTTTGGGTAGTCGGACACTCATTAGCGTTACTGCTACTGAGTGCTGATTGGATTTACAAGCTGAGCAACTCCTTGGATGAGTAAAGCAGTTTGCGGTCATTGACAGAATTAATGCACGTAAGGCACTGTTAGACACTTCTAAAACTTCAGTTTAGAAGTGCTCAAAAAAGTATAACAGCAACTTTAAAATATTTTTTTTAAATGTGCACATTTGTGTATAAAAATTATTAAGCATTTACAAGATGATATTGACAGGCAATTCTCCTCAGCAGAACTTCTCTGACCATATCCAACACTTGTTAATATCTGGGACCTGTTTGGCGTTTTAGTGTCATTTAGTTAAACTGTCTTGGAACTTACCATAATATTAGCCAAAATATTATATAGTACTTTGGAGTTTGCATTTCACACACATCTGGTTGAAACCTAGAACTTAGGAGACTGTACAGCCTAACAAAACTGTTTGTATATGGGCCTGATACAGATATGCAGGAAACATGTTACTGACATAGCAGGGCGCACTTGATGTACTGGTTGGCAGATACAATCTTCCAATATTAAGGTGCATGGATTTCTGGGTTTTTTGGTATTGTTCATTTGTCTAAAATTGGCCTGTTTTATCAGTTACTGGAATTTAAAGCTCCTTAAAAAAATTTATATTGGTGACAATTTTCATATCATGCGTTATGAGTATAAATCTCAAGTAATTTCAACAGGTAAAAAAATTGCACTGTGACAGTTAACTGCAGTTCCAATAAAGTGTTAACCTTAATATCAGAGATCTAGCTGGTGTTTGTTGAAACATCAACAACTTTCCAAACTGATTTAAGAAGTCACTAAAGTGGGGGCTGGGTAAACAGTACTCTTCTATGCCCAGACTAAAGTGCCTTTTAGCCCGGGAACATGTGGCATAGATTCAAATGTTAAACATAAGCAGTGCCACGCTGATTAGCAACAACCTTTTCTTGCAGTATATTACCCGAGCAAAGAGGAAGACAAATGCACCCATTCCACCGATTTTATGCAGGCAGCTGTGGAGGCCAAAGGGCTGGGAGGCCTGCAGGCTCCTAAGTGAAGATGGTTCAAGCATGAAGCTCTGGACCTCTTTAGCACTGAACGGCCTTTGGGATGCTACAGTTATCTTGGTCTGGCCCTTCAGACGGATGACTGGTTCATAAATGGTGTAGACAGATGGGCTACTGGGAGAGTAGACAACTGCTAGACTCTCCTGGAAGAGAAAATAAAAGAGAGATACAGAGAAAGAAGGAGAGATTCCAACAACATTAAAGGAATACTGAAACATTTTTCAAGCTAATGTCTATCTGTTGCATGTATATCATAATGCCAATTACCTTGCACAACAATTTCGCTTTCATGAGCTTAGACAAGCTGACATTGGGAAATAAATGTTTCAAATACGTGATGATATAGTTACACTGGAGGTCTATTTGGATGAGAAAGACATACCACACTAATTTAGCAGGATATATACTAAAATCCATTGTTTGACTCACATGCTTTTCGTATGGAAGCCTGTTAAGGGACAAAAAAAGGCTGCACAGTAAACTGCATACTACAGCACTAAATAGTGTTAAAGAAATAGTGCACCACCATTAAAAGTGTCATTAGTGTACTGTATAAAGTTAATTAAAGTTTAAATGTGTTTGACACAAGTCTGATTAAAGTTTGATTAAAGTTGTGTTTTATAAAATGTGTTTTATATGGTTCTATGTAGAACTTTTTTAAAAAGGGTTCTATATAGCACCAAAAAGGGTTCTCTTATTGTTACAGGATTGACATCTTTTTGGCGCTGTATAGAACCCTTTTCAAAAAGGTTCTATATAGAACCATCTACAGCAGGTGTTCTTAACCTTTTCCACCCCAAGGCCCACCTGTTTATTACTATAAAGCATTAGTGGTCCACAGAAAAACTAAAATCAATTTATTTTTTAAATATTTTTAAAACTGTTTTCTTTTTTGTATTTTCCTCTTCTTCTTCTTTTTTATTCTTACACTGAAAACCTCTGAATTAGAGCCTGAGAAAGATCAGATCATCCATTTCACATCAATCACAGAAATCAAAATTTGCAGTTATGTTGAAAAACATAACATGTTAAAAAAGAAAACCATATGTTTGCAACGATGTCAGAAAAAGAGCAAATGAAAAAAGGTAGATGCAGATGTGGACAGTGATTTGGAGCTGCAGTCCATTGCGTTTTCACTGAAAACACTCTTGTGGCTCCCACAGGAGTCACTGTTTGGCTTCTGGATTACTGTCGCCCCAATCTTCAATAGCAATAAACCTTACTTGATATCTGCTTTTTTGTCATTAGTTTATCAAAGAGCACAACTACTCAGGTCGCTAATGCTCGGCCAGAAATCAAACACATCTTTTTGCTATTATTTTGAGGCGGATATAGCAGGCTTGATTCTAGCTGACGGGCTGCTAGAAGAAGCGAAAAGCCAACTCTATTGACAAATGCCCTCGTCTGATCATAAAATGTGTTCCGTACAGGGTTCGGTTGGAAGCGACCAAGACCTGCGGGTTTTGCTGTTTAATGCAGACCCGAACATGGGTGGAGTGTTCACTCATGTCAACACAGAGTGAACTAAAGAAAAAAGTTTGATAAGTCTGCACTGAACAAGGTAGGAAAAACCGCCCTGAGAAACTTCTCCTTCTCTTGCAAACTGTCTGCAGTGGGCACCCGCAGCTGTGTTGTCTCAAACTGATGACATTTAATTAGCCTGCGACTGTGAGGTTTTCATTTATACATCTCAATTGGCCCACTACGAACTGCTGCCTCCCCCTGAGTACAAGCACGCGGACCACTAGAGGGTGCTTCATGGCCCACAGGTTGAGAAACACTGATCTATAGCACATTCTCCATCAATCTAAAGAACTCTTTAACAATGCAAAGAACCCTTTCATCATGCAAATGGTTCTTTGAATGTTCATGGTTCTATATAGAACCACTTTCTTTACTAAAGAACCATTTAAGAACCATCATTTTAAATGTGGTTTGGGACACACCCGAAACATTTTTTTTTATCCTTCTCTGATTCTGGTCCAAACTGTAAACCATTAGGCTCACATCATTTATTTTCTCAAGATTTTGCTTTATGAAATGTAACATACTAAACAGACCAGACCAGCCCACAGTCAATATTTAACTAAGGGAAAATTAAAAATACTATAAATAAGATGGAGGAGATATGTATATATCCGTACTGTCACACAGTCCTTCAGCACGTACATACGCAGGTCTGACTATAGCGTATAATATATAACTTCTATAAACAGATTACAGAATTATATGAATATTTGCAGAAATGTAAAATCTGTACAGTTGTGCAAATAGCATTATGTTACAGATGAGTTATACTGTAATAGAGCATAGAGCATAGTTTAAGTGTAAAGGGGTTCATTGTGGTTAATGAGTGCTCTAGCTCTGGGGAAAAATTGTTAGCATGTCTGGTTGTGCTGGTTTTGATGACCCTCAATATTCGACTAGAGGGAAGTGGCTGAAAGACGGTAAAAGAGATGTCCAGGATGAGATGGGTCAGCTGTTATTTTGCTGATGCGTTTCTTTACCCTTCTGTTTTAGATGTCCTGAAGCGTTGGGAGGCTACATCCAATGATTCCCTCTGCTGTCCTGATTATGCACTGTTTTGAGTTTGGCTCTTTCTTGTGAGGTGGAGGAAACAAAGTAGATGCTTATGGATGACGCAAGGATGCACTTGATGATCACTGTTAAGTAGAGGTCTGCGCAGGACTGTTTTTTCTCCCACGAGATTTCATCCTGCTCCCGCAGAAAATCAGAATCATTTCTCTGCTTCCACCCGCAACCAAAACGATTTGACCCGCTCCCACCCGCGCACATCCAATATCTGACGCAGTCTAATCACAAACACATCATCCTCTGCTGAAATTGCTGGGCAGCTGTGGCTGTCAGATTGAAGGCTCCACCCTCTCTCTATCGCCTGATTGACACATGCTGTCTCTGCGTGGTGTTAGTGATGTGGCAGTGCGAGCGCTACAGCATGAACGCGCTGATTGATGTTAATTTCGTCTTGAATTACATAAAATCGCCTTTTAACGTTTTTATACGGTCTTTTGTTTAATTTTCAGTGATATGCATGCTATATATGCATGCTTCTGCCCGCTCTCGCCTGAAGGGATCTAATTTCCGCCCAATCCCGCAAGCAACAATTAGTTAACAATTAGCAATTAGTCCAGCGCCGCAAGATATTGTGTCGGGTCCCGCGGGAGTGCTTTTTAAGCTCACCACGATCTCTACAGTTGTTTGTGTGTTTAGCAGCAGGTAGCTGCTGCTGGACTAGGAGACCGCCTGCCTTTCTGTGAGCACACTTATCCCTGTTGGCTATGAAGCCCACCACAGTGATGTCAGCTGCTTCCTTAGAGACACAGTCATTGGTATAGAAATTGAAGAGAAGAAGTGACAGCACACAACCTTGACAGAGTTGGCAGTCGTACAGGAGAAGGGGAGTTTTTCACCTTGTAGTCAGTAAAACCTTATAGGCCTTTCCAGACTGAAGTTGGGTCGTTACCAGCAACGTGGCTTTTCAGCCAGTATTTCTTCTTCGCTGCCTTAATCCCTTTCTCCTGCTTGTGTTTGCCCTCTTTGCAGAGAATTGTGCACCCTCTCTTAAATGATGCCTTCTTTCCCTCCAAGCTGTCTGAGTTCAGCTAAAAAACAATGGTTTATTGTTGCTGTTTTCTCCCATGCTGTAGTTGAAACAGTCCAGTTTGCAGATTCAAAGCAGCCCTGTATCTTTTAATTTCTCCACTGGTCCACTTCACTGGTGTGACAACAGACTTTTTGGTTTTGAGTTTCTGCCTGCATGTTGGGATGAAGTGAACAAGACTGTAGTTGGAATGCCCAAAAGATGCGTGCATGATGGTACGATAGACATTTATTTTAACAGTGGTGTAGCAATGATCCTATATGTTTCCTTCTCCTGTGGGACAAGTGACATACTGTCTGTACTTGAGCGTTTCTTTCGTTAAATTTCCGCTCCGGAAAAAGCGTCCAGAATGAAACAAGAAAACTCTTACTGTATCTGTTTACAGTTAATGAAAATGATGAGTGCATGATTTTAACAGTACAATGATGTATTTACACCAGCACTCACTGACACAGAAGGAGATTCTCTCCCCCTTGGTTTTACCAGAGAGCTCTGTGTCTCTGTCCACTCTGTGCAGCTGGAAGTCAGGTAGGTGCATCGTGCTGGGGTTGGGGTCAGCTCAGAAAGCCGGGCCTCAGTAAAGCAGAGGGACAGATGCGTTGAAAAGTCCTTGTTGGTTTTGTTTAGCAGAAGAGGTCCTTCCAATTGACTAAAGAGGAGTAAAGACGGTAAAGGCATACAAATTCCACATCATCTCAGCCTTATGAGCATGCTGGCCCTTCTGCCTCTCCATCGCTTCCTCGGCAGGTTGAGCAGCCAGTGAGGATTTCCAAAAAGTTTGAAGGTTTTTGAACAAAGTCCATAATAATATCAAGAGAAACATTGTCCCTGAAAGTCAGCTGTTGCCTGCTCCAACTGACTGAGTTTGACATACAATAGACAACACAAACAAAAACAAGCATAAAATATACGAGGCTCTCGCCATAGCTGCCATCACTGCTCTTTAACAAAGTGTGATTATTTAGACATAATGTTATTTTGAGAAAACAAGATATTAGTTTGACATAATAAATAAGTGGTTGAAACAATTATTAACAAGTAGCTTTAGTAATGCAGTGATTGCAGAGCAAAAGTTTCACAATAGTTTGGGAAAGAAAACGGTCAAATTATAATTTAGATAAAGCTGCTTTTAATACACTTTGATAAATGTAAAATATACCCACAGTATTAAGAAATACCCATTCAAAATATTGTTTTGCTAAAAATACTTGGTCTTTCATCAAATTAAGGATAATATAATGTGGCGGGCATTCACAATGTCTAAATTGACAATAAGTGAATGTATCATAAACTCTCTTTTCTCTATCTGTCAGAAACAACAATGGCACACATTAACACCACAAATAAGACAAGCTTTTCACAGATATTAAACCGTGAACAGTCAGTATTTACTATCAGCCTTAGTAAATTAGAATAAGTGCTTCATTATAACAATCTCACCCTCTGAGAGGAAAACTCCTATAAACGCATATATAATAAGACAAAAGCAGAAGAGAGCAGCAACTGGCCCTTTCATGTTATAGGCCCTAAAGAGCCATTGCTCTTTTTAGTAAATCGTGAAAGCCACTTTTTAATGGCAAAACAAGGTTTGTGATAATGCAAAGTGTTTGAAAATCTGCCCCTAACATGTTAAAACAAATATGTCCCAGTTCCTCTTCTCAAACACACACCTTTTACATAGTGGAATATATTAAATTCTCAAAAGCAAACACCATAATATGTATGTAAGAAAATCCCAATTACACAACAAAAGAAAGGGAAGAAAGAAAATTAAGTACAACCATAATGAACACGATCAATATACAGCTACAAGTTTATGCTTTAATGCTTCAGGTGAAAGGGAGACACTGAAAAATTGTTTCAAGCTTGCACATAAAAATCAGTAGTTTTATCCTTATGTGCAATTAATTAAAATTATGCAAATATGGATTTAGAAACATCCACGCTTGTCCTCCTTGTTTAGCATACGACTTGCCTGCACTCACCCTGGTCATATGCACAACCTGATTTACACAGTCAGCTTAAACAGGTAAAGCACACATGCAAAAAACATTTAAAACTGAAAGCACAGATAATATACATATATATATATTATAATATAATTAGATTACTGTAATGCTTTACTTTGTACTGCGTTACGCAAAACACCGGTAATGTGTACTGATACAAGAACTGCTGTTACATCAATTTCTGAAATGAGCAAGTCACTAAGGTTTCCAAATTATGTCTTTATTCAGCCTGGTACTGTTACTTGTCAAATACGCATAGACTGAATTATGCTACTTTAGTTCAAATGCATTTTATCACTAGTCGGAACCATTTATTTCTGTACTTACAACCTGTCTACAATGTATATGCTTTGCAACCTCTCAAACTGGTACAGTGACACAAATGCACTAAAGCTTGAAAACTTGTTGTATCTGTGCACTTAAGCTTCTCTGAGCTCATGAGGTCACATCCTAAGTTGTAATCCTAATGTAGTTCAGACTTACAATAAGAAGCGATGTGTCTACTTCAGAATTCCTCATCAGCAGGTCCCGAATCTGCTCACATTGAAGACTTTCCTGAGTAATGTACTTGGACAATGTCCCGCTGGGTTTGCCATACTTGCATGGCATGATGGAAGTGAGGTCGGGGCCACTTGCGTACAGGTAAAAGGCTTCCTCAGTGTTGATTCTAGAGCCTAAAATAACCAAAAATAATAATAAACCAATAAACAACAAAAAAACATTTTATCACCAAAATAGCAGAAAGGCTCTTATAACTGTGGAAAACACTTCTTTTGGTCAATGCGCTACTATGAAACAGCTGATATTACTTCAGTAATTATGTATCAGTTACATGATCCATCATAACACAATATACTAATGGTCTGTTAACTCATCTGTATCACATAAGCAAAAACAGCATTTGGAAGGCTTATGCTGTATTCTTAAAGTGCCTTTGTAAAATAAAAAAAAGACATCAATGCACCATATTTCAGTGAAGGTTTGTTGATTTTATGACTAATTTGTCTATTATTAGCATCATTAAAATATTTATCTGTTATTAACATTGCTAAATGTTAGGGTCGAAAATAACAGATAATAAATAACTGATGTGAATGTAAAGGGTAAATTCACCCTCCACATGCATTATACCATTTCCAAGGTTAGGAATGACCACACTGGGGCCATTTAAAAGCATATCCATCAAAAGTTTATCAACAACGGGCAGCCATTCTCTTAAGTAGATTCCCCCTGAGGAGGGAATGTGACTCCTTCACATCAGCAACCACCAACCAACCAAATCAAAAAAGGGAAAAGCCATCAACCCAAAAATAGTCGAGCACGGAAAGGAACATTACACAATACCAAACCAGCAGCACTAACCCTACGTTCACACTGGCAGCGACTTTTGGCCTCTTGTCGCACAAAACGCTGGTTGCTCATTGCCTGTGAGTGTTTCTGAACTCGAGTGGACCGTTGGTTGCCATGGTTTCACTGACGCCAAGCACAAATCAGAGGCGTGCCCGCTAAAATAAAAATCCTGGTGAGAAATCTCTTGTGTGCTTATTTTTATTTAATCCCTGTGTCCATGCAGTCAGATTGTGACTTTACTGTCTATTTGCGACAAATGCACCACCAGCATTCCATCTGTGGTAGGTATTAGCACCTCAAAGCCAAAAAAAAAACATGTAACAAAGAAAAATCTAAATTCAACTACACCAAACTGCGTAGCACAGAGTGATATGGTCAGACACATATATTAGCTGACAAAATGCAAATCTGTAAGCCAGTCAACAATCAAAATGTAACATTTCATACATTTCTGTCATTCTTGCTGCACATTTTTGTTTCTTGCTCTTTCTCTCTCTATCTCTCTATTTCTTTCTTTCCATCTAGCTCTATCGATCTACACTGTCTCCGAAACTATCCAGACAACCCTAATTAGTGACTTCAGCAACTTTAAGGTGCACCCATTGCTGACAGAGATGTTCAATTGTGTATACACAGCTTGTACAATCTCCATAGAAAAGACTGCCAATAGAATGGGATTCTCTAGAGCAGCTGCATATCAGTGTAAAGTCACTATGCCCAATGCCAAGCATCAGGTAGATGCATAAAGCCGCCAACATTGGGCTGGAAACTGTTCGCTGGAGAACCATCCAATGCAGGAGAGGTGTTTGTGATACAGAACTAGTTAATAGAGGCTGTTTGTCTATCACTGATGTAATCAGAGATCTGAACAGAGAGGCATGGTTGAGGTTGTGGAGCTGGATGTGAGACAGGGCGGTCCTACCATTAAACAGGAAAAGGGTGCCGATCTCCAAGCGTTGATTCGCAGGCCGAGGCAGCTCTTCCGAGGGGGATAAACAATGGCCCAGCATACAGAACGTCTTGTTACTCTCAGATGACAGACTGGACTTCCTGGGGAGGGTGTAGTCTAACGAGACCTCACACTTCCTGGTGGAGGCACAGATAGAGTTTGCTGTAACCTACTGCAGTTTACTGTTAGTGTTACACAAACATCAGTTACACTGAATCAACCTGATTGGAGCAACAGATAATAAAATGCATTTCACACTAAAAACCCTGTTTAATGACAAGACTATGAGCAAAAGCTGTGAAACATGGGAAATTCAAATCTACAGTACACTGAGCTCTTAGCTTGACCTGTGCAATAGGACTGAGCGACAGAGCAATACATCATCATCACACAAATTTAGATGGTTAAAATAAAGATTCCAAAGTAAAGAAAAAAAATAATACAAGAAAATGTTTAAAATATTAAAGAAATACACAACAATAAAAACATTTTATGAAATAAGAAATAATAAAACAATAACAGGAAAAAATAAAATAAAGTAAGAATATATAAAAATAAGATGTCAAATAGAAAAATAAAGATAAAAACAACAAAATAAATAAAATGTTAAACTAAAACAGTTACAAACAGAACTAAAATAATTTGAAAGTAAAAATAAATTTTAAAAACCCTAGGAGAAACGAGCAAGTCAAGCTTTAGACTACCCTGTACCTTGTTCCAGCTCACCATAGCTAAAGGCAGTTTTACCCAGCTCCATAAAAACCTGGGGAACTTCAAGTGAAATAAAATCATCTGAGCGGGTTTTGTAACGTGTATCCTTTACAGTGAGCATGTAGGTAATATACTCTGGCATCGGACCGACGAGAGCCTTATAGATAAGCAGTAACCAGTGTTTCCCTTCTTACAGATAGAGAGGACCATACCACCCTCTCATATAACATGCAGTGATGAGTCCTGCATGAATCTCCAGTAATGAATCTCAGAGCAGAGTGATAAAGAGGGTCCAAAACTTTCAGAGTGCTCGCTGAGGCATTTCTGTACAGCACATTACTGTAATCAAGAACAAACAGGAAAGTTGCCTCCCCAATGGTTTTCCTGCAGTGCATACGGAAACAAGATGTGTGTCTGTAAAAGAATCTCCTCCTGCCTCAGTTTATTTGTAAGTTTACTGACGTGAGTTTTAAAATCAAGTTTCTCATCATGCCAGATGCCAAGGTACTTATACTTATTTACTCTTTCAATAGTGGATCCATGTAAAGTTAAAACATTTAAAATGTTATTTTTTAATATGAGCAGGTCTGGAAAACAGCATATAGTTTCAGTACAGTACAAAATTGTGTCATCAGCATACAGATGTACTTTACATTCTTTCACTGTGGAAACAATATCATTAAAATAAATTGAAAATAACACCGGGCCTAAAACTGAACCCTGAGGAACCCCTTTAGTGAAGAAGACCAGTATCACAGCTTCCCAGGGCAACACGCTGTCGTCTACCAGAGAGGTAGTTCTGAAACCATTTAACAGCGTTATGGTCAAAGCCGATGCTGTATAATCTTTCTAGCAGCAGTAGATGATCAATAGTATCAAAAGCTTTGGAGAAGTCAACAAAGAGAGCAGCACACTGCATCTTTCTGTCGCAAGCAGTAATAAGATCATCTAAAACCAATGTAGCAGCTGTAATGGTGTTATGTCTTTTCCTAAAACCAAACTGCTGTGTGCTCAAAATACTGTTTAAATCAGATACATCTCCACCTTTATGCAATGGGGTTACATTGGCTTTTTTCAGACACTGGAGACTATACCTGACGAAATCGAGAGGTTATAAATAAATATGAGCAACATGCTCTGAAATGATTGGGGTGGCAATTTTAAGAAAAAGGGATGCAGTTTATCCTTGTCTGTTGATCTTCTAGGGTTGATGGTAAAAAGTGCTTTTGTGACCACACTGAAGGAAAAGGGGTGCAGGGTAAAACAGGCACTATCGCTTACAGTATCTTTGCACTCAGTAACATTTAGAGGCAGTATTACCGACATTCTTTCAAATATGTGACTGCCAGCAGCAAAGTGTTTGTTGTTGCACAAATTTCTTCTTGGTCAGTCAAGTTCTGTATCAACATTCTGAAGTTCAGAAGTGTAGTGAATATTACTAAGTGCAAGATCATGTAAAAAGGCCTACTCATTAAAATATTCAAAATTTCTCCTGATCACTATTCTAGAAGCAGACTTTTGGGCAATGATCACTAAAACCTAGATCAAAGACTCCTGATGCTGTAATTCAGTATACAGTATACAGTAATACAGTGATGACATCAAGAACTGTAGTAGTGAAACATGACTTGAAATACACTGCTACACCACCACCTCTTGAATCTCTGTCACATCTGTACAAACTACAGTTATAGCCAAGATTCTGTAATCACCACGATATCTGGATATCAGTCTGTAAAATCAGAACCTTAAGTTGGTCTAGTCATTCTTGCTGTAGGAGGCGTCTAATATTTAAATGAATTAAGCTTAGACCACTTCTGTTTTTTTAACATGTTGGCATCTTGAGGTTCAGATTCTGAGACCCGTGGAGCTGAATGTGATCTGAGAGGTGATGGTGAAGGCTTTATATAGATGAGATTATCTATGTTAACTGTAGGAGCATTTCTGAAATATCTACTACTATTCTTCTTTTGGATGCCAATCACAGGAATGCTAAAACAGTCATTACTGGAGTCCAGTAGTCAGTTCGTATAAAAAACAGAGTAAAAAATTTTGTCCCCTAAACTTTTGAACCCAAGCTGCTTGGATGAATTCCATCTTTCCAGTAAAAGGAAGGACAATTCCAGAAGAGGTTAAAATTATCTATAAAAGCCATGCTGGTGAAGAGAGTTTATTTGCAATCAGCTGTGGAGGTTTAAAAGGGGGCTTAACCCTCCTGCGCCCTTTCCTAAAGGGTGGAATTTGGCCAGAGATAAAAACAGTTTTGTCATAGTTTTAAGAAGTGTAAAAACATGTAAAGTCGTGTTTTAGCAGTTCTGTGCTCTGATCTCTTATGTCATTACAGCCAACATGAATAACTACTTTCGAAAATGATACTTATCTAGGAGGCTGGGGAGCTGCAGTGTGATGTCAGAGACCTTGGCACCTGAGAGGGATTGGGTGACTGCTGAACAGTGTTTAATATTTCTCACGATGGAGTCACCTACAACCAAGCTGGACTGAGGGCGAGTTGCTCTGTCAGAATGGTCTCGTGGGGTGGAGGGGCAAATTGGCCACGTACTGAATCCCAGCGTGTGTAAGTGGGTGATTTCGTAATAAATATTATTTTCGATTAGAGTGAACAGTAAACAATCGTACTGATAAATACTTTTTGTACTGTTCGCCGCCGATTGGGTGAATACAGCTGCCGTACAAACCTTTTTTGAACGTTTTTGCTTTCCGTAGTTCCTGTTTTGCCTACCGTTGTTATCTGCTCAGTGAATGCGCGTGTCTGAGGACCTGATTTGTCAAAGGGAACGTGAATTTGAGGAGGAACTGAATCGGATATAACACCGGCAGTAGCCTGCGGCGGTGGCGGGGTCGCACGGTGCTCGCTGAAATCCAGCGAGGAGGCCTGCTCGCTCTCTGATGTGCTTGCTGTCGCTCGTTCTCTACAATGAAATATCGTTGATGATCGACAAGTAAGCTGATGATGAAAGGACTAATTTACCTTTTAACAGTTTGACAAAAATGTTAAATAATATGTGCACAACGTTTTGTTCACTTCTACTGTTAAAACAATCGATTATTATTATTATAGAATTATACGATAGTTAGTTCCAGCCATGCAAGCTGAATGGTTTAGAAGCGTTCTAACCGTGCTGATATTTTGCAATTACATCACAGGTTTTTCACAAACATTGCTCACTCCGCTAAGATGCCGCTGCTAAGCAATGATTTTGACAGCTGTAGGAGACGCTCAAGCCATTTGAAAGTTTTTACTTCTTACTTTGCGCACAAACAGAAAATGGATACTTTTAAGATTACATTTGACCTACAGCCGATCTGGTCAGACTCTGAAGATGAGACTACACTAAATTCCCAAACTGTCATTACCACTGAGCAAGCTTTTCAGTCAGCCGCTGCGACAGAAGAAAACCTAAACAACCTAGAATTAGCCAGACATGAACCGAATGCCATTCGCCAAACGTGTAGTCTCATCTTCAGAGTCTGACCAAATTGGACTGAGACATAAAACTGCCGCAATAAAAAACAAAAAAAGCTTGCTCAGTGGTAATGACAGTTTCGGAATTTAGTGTAAGGAGCTGGGGAATAAACTGCTGGCTGTGCAGCGAGTGAGCGAAGCTCTTTGCTGTGACGTAGCAACAAGCTGCTTGTTAAGGAACTATAATTTGGCGCAAGGAATTGCTGACATTAAAACATATTAAATGACACGTTCATGGCCCAATTTATTAACTTCTTACTTTATTTATTTAACTGTTGTACAAAAGCAATAGAACACTCAAGGTCGTGTGTTATCGCGTATAACATCACGGCTGTGTTGATCTACGGCACTCGCCGATGTTATTTCGCGATAACACACTCTCTCTCATGTTCTATTGCTTAAATAACATCACGGCTGTGATTTGGTCGCAGGCACGAGCCAAAGGCTGATGTTATTCGCGATAACACACGACCTCGAGTGTTCTATTGCTTTTATACAACAGTTAAATAAATAAATAAATAAATTGGGCCGTGAATGTGGCATTTAATGTTTTAATGTTCGCAATTCCTTCTGCCAAATTATAGTTCCTTAACAAGCAGCTTGTTGTTATGTCACAGTAGCAAACTCCACTCACTCGCTGCACAGCCAGCAGTTCGTTCTCCAGCTCCTTACACTAAATTCCGAAACTGTCATGACCACCGAGCAAGCTTTTCAGTCAGCAGCTGTGTCAGAAGAACATCTAAACAACTTGGAATTAGCTAGAAATGAACCGAATACCATGCGCCAAACATGCAGTTTCATATTCAGAGTCTGACCAAATCAGACTGAGACATAAAACTGCCGCAATATCAAGTGTAGCTCAGTTTTGTCAATTTTTGCTAGATCAATATTAATGTTGTTTTGTTTCAGCCAGTCTGTAAAGCATTTTACAGCCGATTTTGTTTGGCGAATGCTATTCGGTTAATTTCTGGCTAATTCCAGGTTGTTTACAAGGTTATGTTCTTCTGTCATAGCTACCAACTGAAAAGCTTGCTCAGTGGTAATGAGTTTTGGAATTTAGTGTTTTCATCCTCAGAGTCTAACCAAATCAGCTGTAGGTCAAATGTAAATCTTAAAAGTATCCATTTTCTGTTTGTGTGCAAAGTAAAAAGTAAAAATGTTTAAATGGCTTGAGCGTCTCCAACAGCTGTCAAAGTTGTTGCTTAGCAACGGCGTCTCAGCGGAGTGATACAGTGTTTGTGGAAAAAAAACGTGCTGTTATGGCAAAATAGAAATTAGAACACTTCTCAACCAATCAGCTTGCGTGGCCGGAACTAGCTGTTGTATAATAGGGGGTATTAATAAGAATTCTGGTTACAGCAGAGTATATTTCCCACTGTGTGCAGAGTGCAGAGTTCGAGGTACTTTCCATATAGAATAAAGTGTCCTGATGGTTCAGATGAGAGAAATTATAAAAATATGATTTATGTTTTCCACACAGGGACCATTTCAGGTATTTTTTCAAAACAAGCCTTAAAACATATAACTTTGATTTGCAGCACATCAACTCAAAACATCAACATTTATAATTCAGAAACATAGCAAGTGAGGGTCAACATTTTCCACTGAATTAAAATCATATAATGTCTATCAACTGCATAAAATGTAGGGGTAGGCAAAGTGAGACGACATTATCGCAGTTTTCTGAATATATTGTGGATATTGTCTATACTGCTAAAACACTTAACAACTGTATCTATCAAAAAGAATTTGATCAATTATAGAGAACCTATACACAACAAGCAGTATTTATAAACTGCATAAACCACATAGCAACAAGTAGTTGATTGAAAGCCTGATATTATGCCACTTTCATGTTTTTTTTTTTTTGCAAACATAAAACAATTTTAAAATCATCACTGCATTAATAGCTTTTTTTATGTGGTTTCTCTAGTGTTACTTATGTCGTTATACAGTACCAGTACTGTTTTTCTTGTTTTTACTGTCTTTCACATTTCACAATAAACATGAAGCTATCAAAACTATGAAGCAATATATACAGAATCATGCAGAGACAAATCAATCAATAAAAATAAATTAAACTGTTTTCAATTTTAGATTCTTTTAGAAATTAGTCCACCCCTTCACCTTGATTCAGTGTTAACATGTTCTTGGCATTCTCTAAAGCGAGAAAATTCCATGACCAAAACATTCTGTGCGATCCTTTGAGATACTAAATAGATATAATAGCACTTTGCTTTACTGATCACCAAAATCAACTAATGTGTGCAACGTAATAGCTGACTTACTTAATGCCACATGCCCAAAGCACCAGATGGCCATGGATGTTCTTCTTGCCCTCAGGTTGTTGTGTGTAGGTAAAAGCCAAGTGCTGCCACAGGCCTGCGGTCAGAACTCCTTCACCAGACTCGGTCTGGGCCAGAAGACCAGCCTTCATCTCATCATTGGGATCAATGCAGATCCTTGAGCCACATATCCACAGTTACTCCAGCAGCATAGCTTATTAACCAAATTCATGCATCAATTAATTTTATTTAGAAATGTGAATACAAATAACACTCCTAAAAGAAAGCAGTAAAAATTCACAAATTTTATGGTATGACTCCTACCTGAAGGTGCAGGCTCCAGTAGAAACGTCTGCCCAGACTTGCAGCATTAGGGCTTTGGAGCCCATTGAGAGCACATGCAAGAGGCCCTCCTCTCCTTGACATTCCACCAGCTGAGAGGCACCACGTTGGACTCCATCAACCCACATCACCTTCTCACCTTTTACTGCATTTTTTAATTTTTGCAGAAAGAAGATTTTGTGACATTACACAGCCTTATACATATACCCTTGGCGAGCTGTAGAGATGGGTGATGCTTTTCAAAGTCAAAATGTGTTAAGCATTCATTCAACTAGCTGTAAAAGCAAAAACAGGGCTTAACGGGGCTAAACGTTGACCAGAGGGTGGATGATGTTCTCTGCTAGGTACGACTGACAGTTCCACAAAAATATACTAATAATGCTGATACAGATGCTTTGGTTAATCCTATGCTGGGTATAAACTGCTATTACTACAATACCACTTTATTCCAGCATTTCTGTCAACCAACTCAAAGCAGTGTATTGTTCAATCACATCTACGATAATCCAACTCTGTTTATGTCGGGTTGAGGTTTCAAATTTTCAGTATCAGTCATGCCTAGTAGGGTTGGGTCTCAAAATTAGAGGTACGGCAAGGTTCAAGTTTCAGTTTAATGTCTAAGCAGACCTTTCGCTCAGACTTCTCTTGAAGTGCTAAAGTGAGCTGTTGCAGAAGACTCGTCTTACCTTGGTGTGATGGCCCCTCCTCATCCTCACTCTTTACAGCTCGTACCCAGAGTGATGCGCTGAAGCCGCTGGCCATATGTGGCCAGCAATTCTGCCCCACCAGAGGAAGGTGGAGAGGAGCGATGTGCCAGGGGGAAGTTTTTGAGTGCCCTGGATGTCTGACACCTTCATCCTGGCCTGAGGACTGTTTGCCCCTCCAGAGCATGCCCATCCCTGCTGTGGCTCCAGCCGCCACATTAGTCTTCAGCCCCACAAAGGAGCTTGTGCTTGGGGCACTGATGCCCAAGAGCATAGGAAAGGACAGGTAGTGCAGGGGCTCTGTATCTGCATTAGCTAGCGCCATCTTGAGAATACCATTCAGCAGGATCTCCTAGTGGACATGTAAAAAAGAAACCAAAAAAAAAGAAGTGTGTGAAACTGTGGTACCATGACAATCAAAAAGTACCACACATCTGTGGTACCATGACAAAAATTACCACATATCTGAGTTTGTGTTTAAATCTGTGTAGCTTGTTATAAACATTTGCCAGCACTAAAATGGTTTACTGACTGTTTGTTGAAGTGAAATGGCACTTACAGTGGGAGGCGTCTTGGCCAGGAAAAGACGAATCAATAAGGCCAGCTCTTCTGCTGTCATCCTGTTGTTCACCAAGGCAACCAGCAGCTCCACAAGCACTGCCTGGCACTCTATAAGGAACAATGAAGCATCCATCACATCCATGTAACACACTGTAACACACATGTAACATTACACTGTAATGCAATACAGTGACCCAATGTACAATTACTCATTACATATCAGAGGTGTAGTCCAAGTCATACACATGTATACGATGTATACACACTAGAACATTTTTCAACATTTCTGAATGTTGAAAAATTCAGAATGGTTTTATTTAAAATGCTCTGGTTCTAGTGACACTGACTGACTCAGATTTTTTCACAGAACTGTTCACAGAGATAGCAACCAGAGTATTTTTCTTTGCTGCTTGAATCCCTTTCTCCAGCCTGTATTTGGCCTCTTTGTAGAAAATTCTGTTCCTACTCCTAATTGCTACCTTCTTTTCCCTATGAAGCTGACAGTGTTTAGCTGAAAATCATCGATTTATCATTGCTGTATCTTGCTTGTGCTATAGTTGTAATGCATTTGTCATCACAGAATCAATGAATCAATATATGATGTTACGGTATCCGTGTATTTATCTAGTCTGTCTGTCACGTCTTCAAAATCGGTCTAGTTTGTGGAGTCAAAGCAGCCCTGCAGCTTATTATCTATACGTCCTCTGGTTCACTTCTTCACTGTTGTGATGATAGACTTGGTTTTAAGTTTTACCTGTGTGCTGGAAAGTGAACATGACTGGTCTATATTTTAAGTATTTTTAACAGTGGTGCAGCAATGGTCCAAAATGTTCCCTCTCCATTGCAGCGTAAGAGAAGAATGGTTTACAATTGAAGAAAAGTGACTCTAGATAAGGAGTGCATTATTTTAACAGTACTGTGATGCCTTTACACCAGTGGTCCTTGACACAGAAGCAAATCCTTTATCCCTGGTTTTGCCAGTGAGTTCTGCGTCTCTGGTACAGCACACCCTCTGGGGTCAACTCCAAAAGCCAGGTCTCCATAAAGCAGAGGCCAAAAGGGGGTTGAAAAGTCCTTGTTGGCTTTGTTGAACAGAAATAGCTGTTCTGTTTTGTTGTGTAGAGATCGCAGATTGGAAAGAAGTAAAGACAGTAAAGGTCATCTCAGCCTTATGAGCATGCTGGCCGTTCTGCCTCTTCATTGGCCAGGTTGAGCAGAGCAAGATCACCCATCTTTACAGATGGGGTGAAATCCAAGCAATCCGGGGCGCATGAGTTTCACATACAACAACATTAATTAGCAAAAATAAACACAGCGTGCAAGGATCTCAGCGAGGCTGCCACCTGTAATGATATCTTGGAACATTTGGTAAGGCACTCATGCTTTAATCATCCTTGAGAAGTGACTAGAACTCAAATGGAGCCCACATGTTGCAATTTACATTGATAGATTATAGTTTAGAAATGCATACACCTGGGTCTATAAGGGCCCACAATTTCTGCATTGAACACTGAACACTGCATTGTCAGGACAAAAACCAAGCCATAAAGTCTGTGAATCTCTGTGATCAAACTGTGGCAAAGCATAGATCAGGGCAAGGATGTAAAAAAAACATCTAAGGCTTTGAGTTTTCCCAGGACCATAATGGCCTCAATAATTCTGAAACAAAAGAAGCTTGGAACAACCTTGAAACTTCCTAGGCGTCTGGGCAAGAAGAGCCTTAGTCAGGGAGGTAAGAAAGAACCGAACAGTCACTCTGAAAGAGCTCCAAAAGTCCTGTGCTGAGATGGGAGAACCAGTAGGATGGATAGCCATCTCTGCAGCGCTCCATAAATCAGGCCTTTATGGCACAGTGGTATGATGGAAGCCATTGTTGAGTAAAGGCATATGGCAGTCCACTAGGAAACGGCTAAATGGTAAGTAAAGAATTAAACTCTTTGGGCAGAACAGCAAGCACTATGTCTGGCGAACTACAGGCAATGCACATCACCTGCCAAATACCATCCCTATCGTAAACATGGTGGTGGCAGTATCACACTATGGAATGCTCTTCAGCAGCAATGACAGGGAGACTGGTAAGAATTGATGGACAGATGAATGCAGCCAAATACAGGAACATCCTTGAAGAAAACCTCCTCCAGAGAGCACAGAAGGTCAGACTGGGGTGACAGTTCATTTTCAACAATGATCTGAAGCATACAACCATAAACAAAAAAGGAGTGACTTTAGGACAAGTCTCTGAATGTGCTCGAGTGGCCCAGCCAAAAAGTAGACTTAAACTTCATTAAACATCTGTGAAGAGACCTGAAGATGGCAGATCACAGATGTTCATCATCCAATCTGGTGGAGCTTGAGAGGATCTGCCATGAAGAATGGGATAAACTGCCTAAATACAGTTGAACAAAGCTTGTAGAAAACTTGCATCTATAATTGCTGCCAAAGGGCCTTCTACAAAGCATTGAATGAAGGGTCTAAATACTATTATGAAGAGATTTTAGTTTTTGAAATGTAAATGAAAAACATTTTTTACTTGGTCAATATAAATGATAAAGTGCAGTTTGTTTGGTAAAAATGGCAAATACACTATATGGACAAAAGTTTGGTTAGGGGTTAGGGAGTTTTTTTTATGACATCCCATACTAAATCCATGGGCAATAAATATGGAGTTGGTCCACCCTTTGCAGCTGTAACAACTTCCCCTCTTCTGGAAAGGTTTTCTAAAACAACATTTTGGAGTGTGTCTGTGGCAATTTTTGCCCATTCATCCAGAAAAGCATTTGTGAGGCCAAAATGTATTGCTACGCTGAAAAAATAAGGGGCCCAGGCCAGCTCCTAAAAAACAACCCCACAGCATTATTCCTCCTCTACCAAACTTTATACTTGGCACAGTGCATTAAGGCAGGTAATGGTCTCCTGGCATACACCAAACCCAGACTGGTCAATCAGACTGCCAGACAGAGAAGCACGATTCATTACTGCACAGAATGCGTTTCCACTGCTCCAGAGTCTAGTGGCAATATGCTTTACACCACACCCCCACACCCGATTGGCACTGTGCTTTTTGATCCTAGGTTTGTTTGTAGTTGCTTGGCCATGGAAACAGATTTTGTGAAGCTCCTGATGCACAGTTCTTTTGCTGATGTTGCTTCCAGATGCAATTTCGAACTCGTTACTGAGTGACTGAACAGGGGATAGGCATTGTGTGCTTTAGCACTCTGTGGCCTACCACTTCGTGGCTAAGCTGTTGTTGCTCCTAGTTGCTTCCATTTCACAATACTTGCACTTAAAATTGACAGGAGCAGATCTAGCAGGACAGAAATTTCACAAACTGACTTGTGGCACAGGTGGCACCCTATGACAGTGTCACATTTAAAGTCACTGAGCTCATCAGTACGACCCCATTCTACTGCCAGTGTTCGTCTATCATGACTACAAGGCTATGTGCTTAATTTCCACCTGTTAGCAATGGGTGTGGCTGAAACACCTGAACTCAATACTTTTGTCCATATAGAGTATAGCCATTCAAAATCAAATCCAGGACACAAAAAATAAGAATACTTTGAATACTTTTTGAACCCACTGTAAGTGTGCTGACCAATCTCAGAATTTCCTTACAGAGTGTTCTGTGAGTGATCTGACAAATCACTTAAACCTTCCTTTCACTTTATTATTAACATTTTTTTTTCAAGAAGGTGCTGTTACAGATATTCTTACCAGATATTTTCCATTGTACATGAAGCTGAAAAAGACAAGTGTTAACGCTGCTGGAATACACACCTTTATAGGAGGGATCTGTTTGGCTGAGAATGTTCTGAAAGCCAGTCAGAATGCTTTTCACACCGCCCTATACAGAAATGAGAAGAGATACACTGATTCAAAACATCTACTATGATACTTTACAATCCCTGACACATTTGCACAATTTAAGTTTTAGATTTGTAAATTTGCCAAAAAAATATTAGTAGAGCACTTATTACAGTGCTTAGTACAACCTTGTTTCCAAAAAATTTGGAACACTGTGCGAAATGTACAACCCCATTTCCAAAAAAGTTGGGATGCTGTGCAAAATGTAAATAAAAATAGAATGCAATGATGTGCAAATCATGTAAACCATATTTTAAAAGAAAAATACTACAAAGACAACTACAAAGAAAAATATATGCCCATTTTGAATTTGATGGCAACAACACGTTCCAAAAAATTGAGACACATGTTTGCCACTGTTTCATCACCTCTTCTTTTAATAACACTCTGTAAGTGGGAACTGAGGAGACCAGCTGCTGTAGTTTTGAAAGTGAAATGTTTTCCTGTCCCTGTTTGATATAGGATTTCAGCTGTTCAACAGTTCAGGGTCTCCTTTGTCGTATTATTCATTTCATAATGTGCTAAATGTTTTCAGTGGTGACAGGTCTGGACTGCAGGCAGGCCAGTTTAGTACCCGGACTCTTTTAATACAGAGCAATGCTGCTGTAATACATGCAGAATGTGGTACTGTCTTGCTGAAATAAGCAACACCTTCCCTGAAAAAGATGTAGTCTGGATAGCAGCGTATGTTGCCAAAACATGTATATATCATTCAGAACACTTTTCCACTTCACCTCAGTCCATTTTACATGACCTCAAGCCCAGAGAAGGCGGCTGCATTTCTGGATCCTGTTTATATTTGGTTTCTGCTTTGCATTTTAGAGTTTTAACTTGCATTTGCGGATGCAGCGACAACTGTTTTCACAGACTGTGGTTTTCAGAAGTGTTCATGCATGCAGTGATTTCCTCTACAGAATCATGTCTGTTTTTAAAGAGTCTTTTATGTTTTTACATTCTGGTTGCCCCTGTCCCAACTTTTTTGGAATGTGCTGTTGGCATCAAATTCAAAATGGGTATATATTTTTTAAAAAACAATAAAATTTCTCATTTTCAATGATGTGTAAATTTTTTGAACCCCATATGTAACGAAATAATGAACTTTCCTGTAATACAAAAGATAAATAAAACAACAAAATCTGTTTCCTGTCAAAATTTAAAATCAAGGACATGCAAAGTAGCAGCAATAAAAATGTAAATGTAAAATGTAACTAAACTAAATCAGTATTCTCTTAATCATACCAACAGGTTCTCTGTGCTTCACCAACCACACAGCCACATCTACACACAAACATCACACAAATAATAAACAACAAACAAACATGAGTGTGGATCACTGTTCTCTATGTTATATAATCCTATCCTGCTTTCTGAGTGCAATATCCTTGAAACAGTATAATTCTGGACAGTAACCTTCTTAAACTGCAGCTCTGTAATGGTACTGAACGCAGCCCAGCAGCGAAGTTGACTGCTCCAAAATGGAGGCCAAGTTGATGCGCCTGGTTGAACCCAATGCAGCATCTATGTATGAACAACACTATCTCCGCTACAAACGTGAGCTTCATTCAAATTCAGCAACCAGTGACAAACGTTTGTGGCAAACTTGTTCTCTATGAACAGTTACATTTGAAAGATGTTGTGTAAACATTCCATTTCAAAGGTAACCCTTTGTCCAGCTGCCCTGTGTTCGCAGAGACCTACCTCCTGAAACTGTTTACGAGTGGTGGCAAACATTAGCGGAGAACACAAGGTAACGTTAAATAGAAGACTGTTTGCAACTGTTTACAGGCGCTCTCGTGTAAACAGTTGCAAACAGTCTTCTCCTGGTCGCCGAATTCGAACGCACCGGTGGCCTCGTTAAGACAACGATGCAGTGTTTAAAACCGTAAACGTTAATAGGAACAGGGTCGTTGTGAATAATAGTTACTTGCTTCTCCGTTCCAACTCCATTAACGATTCCAGAGAACATGCATTTCAATATAGAAAATGTTATAGCTCATGACATGAAGTAGGACGGCTTAACAACATTAGCTAACTAGCTCACTAGTATATTAATATAACTATCTTACAGAAATGAATCTTCTTCATCCAGTGAGCCAACATGGAGGGTGTGCTCCCATAGCCAGCTAAGGTCGGCTTTACAAATAACACAACTGACAACTTTTTTTTGGAGTTTAGCGTGAAACGCTCCCACACTTTTTGTTCTTGAGGCGGCCATCATGCTTTTGTGAACTTTCCAGTAAGCGGTAATGTCAAAACATTCCTAGTTAGCGCGAGAAACATGCGCAATGACATCACCAACTAAAGGGCTATTAAATCAGTTGCCAACTAATTTGGTCATTGATTTTAGTCGACTAAGTCAAATAATCGTTGCACCTGCAGTCATCACAAGACTAAATCAGACAAAATAGTTACTGTAAACCTTTACATTGAGCAGATATTCTTATTTAGAGCAAGTTATAGTGGTAGGTCAGTACAGATTTCAGAGTCTTGCCCAAGGACTATTATTTTGATGTTCCTAATTAGATATTCTGTGTCAGTGGCAGTAATATTATCCACTATGCTATCAATTCCAGTTAGTGATTTATTTGCGAAACAATCTTTCAAAAGAGTGGAAATGTCCATTCACCATTGAATATACATGCATTAGCATACGTGCAAGCAAAAATCTGGTTGTAATTTACTGATTCTAATTATGGGCCATAATTTAAATATCAGACCAATAATGAAATAATAACTACATTTTTCTATTTTCACACTAGATACTAGACACTTCATTGGACTAGAAAATGTAAACATGCTCATAATCTCTTTTTATTAAGCCACATAAAGCAACACATTATACTATCTATCTTATTGGAAAACGCATGTCTGGCTTTCATGCAGTGACAATTAGCAAGCTGTACCATTCTGCAGCTAAAACGCTGTATGAACGGGCAACTTGTGCAAGCTGTAGTAGTCACGCTGCCGCATCGATCATTTCACGTAGAGATAGCCTGTATGAATGTGGCCTAACACTCTGTTCAAGATGACCAATACTTGCTCTGGACCAGTGTGATTTCAGTATAAAGGCAGTATAAGAGTCAAACCCGTTGGTAGATCAATGCTGCATTGCAATGGTGGCCTCGCACAGCTTCAAGCAGGTTCTGCAATACATGGTCCAGCACTTCCAGGTCTGGTGAGCTGCTGGCCAGCAGCTGCAGCTCCATGAGGCAAATCTCAGGGAAGAGCAGCAGGCCTTGGCCAGGGCCCTGGGCCACACCGGTAAGCCCAAATGCACATTCTCCTGGTGAGGCTGCCACCTCCACCTTCACACCTTAAACAGAAACAAGAGAACACGTAGAACACTTGCAAACAGGTATGCTTTTTTCCTCACTTTTGATAGGAGGCAGCAAATAAATTAGAATAAGAGGCAAAAACAAACTAAAAATTATAGATATGAACCATTGTACATATAGTACTTGTAAAACTAACCTACATCATCTAAAATAAAGCACAGCAGATGTTATTCAGTGTTTAAAACTAAAGACGTCACGTCACAAGTGTATCCACACTGAAGAAATTAAATATTACATCTTTGTTGCAAGAACACTCTCAGCTTAAAAAGGAAATTTGAATATTGAAGTTTCTAAGCTAGCTCTCTGTATATTTGAATCACACACATTACTGCATATCATGCCAAAAACTGCTTCAGGCGCTGTCATCTGTTACTTGTGTACTCTTACTGGAACTGTAAAAAATGTTATGCTTTGTATGACAGAGCGCTACTTGGGAGAGATTTTGAAGAGCTGATCGTAGCAACATATTGTGGAATTATATATATATATATATATATATATATATATATATATATATATATATATATATATATATATATATATATATGTATAAAGTTACAATCTTTTGAAGCTTCTTTCAGAATGAAAGTAGGGAGTTCACAGGCACTGACAGACTAAGATGGGCTATTATTGGTCTTCTCATTTCCAGAGAGCCTAAACTTTTAAAAAAAACTCAAAGAGTCTTCTCAATCTTTTACAGAAGACAGCAATTTTCATAGGTCTACATTAGGGATGCACTGGAATTTCAGATACTAAAACATCTGTTTTTTGTCTGAAAGAGAAAAAAGTTTGAAATATTTTAATAATAAAAAAAGATTTAATAGACCTACAACGAAGTGTCAAATTCTAAGACTTTAATAGTAATAAAAGGGAAAATAGTGATTGTCAAGGGAGAAATAGTGATTCCCCTTGCATCCCATGAAGTTGATAGCTTCTTGCTTGCCAACGTCTTTTTTAAATTTTTATATTCAACTTTCTTAGTGAAATTTTCAATTTCTTCTTAAATGGTGCAGCAGTTACATTCTTCATTGCCTTGAATGACCAAACATTCTTTGATGTTGAGGATGTCATTAAGACTGCCCCTGTCTCATCTCATGCACATACACAAGAGCAAGCTATTGTCAGACTGGTAAACCTAAAACAATGCTTACTTTATAGCATTCTCTATACTTTGTATCACATCAACAAACACGCACAGACAGACACTGTACATTTATTCAAACACAGTCTCACAGGTAGCCAATGTTTATTTTGAGCAATATGCATTTGTTACACAGCACGTTCCTCCATCACTCAAGTTTTTGAATGGTTATCTCTTAACAAATGGCTTATCATGACTACACAGATTGGCATCGGTGTCAAATGCGTTATCACAGCAGAGTTTATTTTCCAGAAGTGTAGTCATTCTATGGTTGCCATCAAGCCCATATTAGGAACTTTGTGTCTAAGCTGGTTTTCTCTATGACAGAGGCAACAAATGGCATTTTGGAATATCAACGCTGTTACAGCCTTTGGTACACTATAATGTTCCAAATCCAACATATTTTTCCCTACAGACATTTTTCCTCGGAACGTTGCCGGATCTTCTGAATTGCGAGGTCATTAAGGAGCCAAAGTACGGCACACACAAACCAGCAGGCTTTGACACAAGTGGTAGTTTAGAGGCTTTTGCCGTTTGAAGCTGTGCTTTACAGAAACTGGTGTTGGTATAATGGTGTTGACGTTTAATAGTAGACTTTCATTCAATGTCATTTCAGTGCACAATACATTTGCTTTCTTGTAGTGTGTATGTTGCACTTTTGTATTCTGACTGCTAAAAGACCTTGTACATACATACCATCTGTGGGGAATTTCTGGTTACTACAAGACATGACAGGCCATTTTTGAAAACATTGTTCATTTCTGTCACAGAGAATATCCGCATGGAAGGTTCATTCAACCACTGCAGCTCTAGTTAAATAGCACATAGGAAGCAATAGGGGTGAGGGAAAAAAAAATCGATTCTTAGATGCATCATGATGCGGACGTGAACGATTCTGAATCGATTCACAAATGTCAAAAATCGATTTTCTAAATATTTAATTTATAATGTTGACGGAACGCAAAAGGCAGAACTTGGAAGTGGGAAAGTGCAGCGCCTGGACAGTCTGTGGCGGCACATAACAGAAACACACACGGATGAGCGAGAAAGCCGACGACACCCTCTGCATTAAAGCCAGGTTAGATCAGGAGTCACAACCCAAATGTTAAGAAGAGCCATTTTGTCCTTTCGACAAAAATCAAACCACCTTGGGAGCCGCAACATTTAATGTCCAGCATGTCTTAGTATGTGTTAATGTCCTAGTATAGGCTAAACAATGTAAACGAAAATGCTGACTTACTTTGCTCTGCTTTAAGCTTTAACTAGTTATAGCCTCTTTCCTCCCATCTCCGGCAGGAAATGTTTCCTTAAAAGTAGACTAGTTTCTTGTAAAATGTCTCTCATCGTTCGACTGTTTCATGAGGCTGAAGTCGATTCTTATTCTCCCGTTTTCCCGTTCCATCTTAAATTCTGCCTGAGCTGCCGAATGTAAATGCGGCACCGTTTAAGGTGGACCGGGAAAATTCGAAAGAGAAGCGACTTCATCTTTGTGACTTTTAGTGTTTGACAGTCTCTTGTTGCAGATTTAACGTACCAGGAAACCAACTGCACTGCTTATAAATGAGTAAGAATGAATAAGTCCATTCATCCCCAAATGTATGTCTTAAATCTGTGTCTCTTTTCGTTCGCTGCTAGCTAGGCGAGACTTCGTTGCTAAGTGACCTGCAGTCTGCAGGCCAGTTCTCAGCCGTTGAGAACCAGGGCTTTCGCGCTATGTTGCACACGTCCCATCTCAAAGATATTTTACTGACACAGAGATCCCACCACTCTCTACAAAGAGACCAAAACCGAAGTTATAAAATCACTAAAGAAAACGAGTAGAATAGCTGTAACGTGCTGCATGGACATCTATTACCACTGGATCTTATGTCACACTAACAGCGCATTTTATCGCAGATGAGTGGAAGCAGCGTCTCATGTGCTCCAAACAGCAGTGAATTAGAGTCTTCAAGTTCACTTGCCACATCACTTCCATTTGATTTATTAATAAAAGATATTGGAAGTAAACGCATTATGGATCATTACAAATACTTTGGTTTAAAACTACCAAGTCCTTAGACAGTAGGAAAATAGAAATCCTGTATAGCAAAAAAAGATGCATCAAGATGCATCGATAAACGTTTTGTAATCGCATCGCAGCCCTCTGAATCGTAATCGAATCGAATCGTGAGGTGCCTAGAGGTTCCCACCCCTAGGAAGCAACATAATGAGAGCGCAGATAAACATTCAGCTCAGGCCCAATTTATAGATCTAATAGTATAGATTTAACAGAATAAAACTTTCAACATTAGCTGACTAACTTGTCACAAACACCTCATGAGAGCTAGTATGTAACTGCTGTACTTTCTAAGGTGAAATGCAAAATTTGAATAGAGCTGGCAAGTAAGAAGCAAATCTCAGCTTCATGTTGAAGTATGCATTGATACTACTACTACCACCAATCAACAAACCTAATGTTTTACCTTTTAAAATGAGCTGTTTTATGGCTAAAAGCTGTAAAGCTAGTGATGTTAGCTGAGATGTCAGTTGATTAGCATTTGTCTGATTATTGTGAAGACTTTAGATTGACTTCCCCTTCATTGTAAACCATGTGTGATCTAAACATAGATTTTTGTAGGGTTTAATATTTTGCAGTACAGTGATATTGCCATTAGTTTTCTAACTAGCTAGGTGAGCAGTGTGTGCTGAAAGGCTAAAGGATACACCAGTGGCTGAGAGAAATATGCCAAAACCAGATGAAGTGTGCCAGTGGCCACTTTGGGAGTTTATATGTATTTATGCTGTCAACAAAGGTAAATTTATGATGTTTGGCATCTCTTTGGAGTTCTGGAGCATGGCAAGCCTGAAATGAAACAGCAGTCTCTTTAAGCTATCGAACTGTATGCATATTTGTAGCATGTAATAAACAAATCTTGCCAAAATGGCAGAATGAATAGCACCAGAGGCTAGCGTTAACTTAGTGAGCCGGTCCAAACAGCTTCACACACACCATAGCATAAGTTTGACCATGGCTCTCGATGTTCTACTGATGCACATTTATGGGATAAAGACTTGTGTGACTGGTGCTGGAGTGAAAGAAACACAGAATCTAACCTATTTAGTGATGTATTAAGGTAATCCTGTTAAGCTAGAATTAGCATAGCATAGTTAGTCAGGTTTACCAGACTTGTTCCAGTGACTGGATCACCCTTCAGGTGCTGAGAGCTTTTACTGAACTGCAAAAATCTGTTTTTAGCTACAGTGCACCAGTGAGATGGAATTTATTACAGGAATCTCTAAAGCTTCCCTCACTGGTGTCACATGAACATTTTAAACTTTTAATCTCTAACCATCTCCAATCAGTCTGCAACTGTTTTACTTGATTTTAGTTAAGTTTTAAAGTGATTTTTGGTATGTTTTTAGTTATTGTTTTATTTTTATTATTTTGTTCTTATTAAATATTGCCAAGCTAGTTTTTACTTTCTTTATTTCTTTATTTCACTTATTTCTTCATTTTACTTACATTACTTTTTATTTTTTATTTATGCTTATTTTATCTTATTTATTAAGCTTCTATATTGTTGTCATTTTAATGGTTTATTGATTTAATTTTTAAAAATTAATTACTATGATTATTATTACATTTTAGCATATGTTTTCACTATTTGAATTCTCAATCCCTGATCTCTGTATTGTCTTAGCTACATTGTAAATGCGGGTCTCCCTCAATGTATTCAGAGTTTAAATAAGTGTTGATTGATTGATCAAACAACAATAAATAGAAATATTTAAACAATCGTTATTCACAGTGGACTACTTTTTATGGTTTAAATTAAGACCTTAGGAGTGTGCGTGTGT